TATGACAGCTAGCACTGGTCTCCTAGTACAACACAAGTTTCAATTATATGTCTATGAAAAGGGAGGATTGGCCTTGGGCGTGGTGACTCAGCTCCAGGGCATCACTTCCCAGCCAGTAGGCTACTTAAGCAAAGAATTAGATCAGGTAGCCAAGGGATGGCCAGGATGTTTTAGAGCAGTGGCTGCAGTAAGCCTTCTAGTGCCTGAAGCTCAAAAACTTTTCCTAAACCACCCCCTAATGGTTTATACCCCACATGACCTAGGGGGAATTTTAAACTCAAAAGGAAAACTTTGGCTATCTGACAGCTGTCTACTTAAATACCAGGCCCAGCTTCTGGGAGGGACAAAAATAACTTTAAGGACTTGTCAGAGCCTAAATCCTGTATCTCTTCTACCAGAGGCAGAGGAAAATCCTGAACACTCATGTGAGGAGGTATTATGGAAAATTATGCTTCCCAATCTGACTTACCTGATCAGCTCTTAAAAAAAAACCAGATCTAGAATTATACACTGATGGTAGTTCCTTTGTCAAAAATGGTGTCAGATATGCAGAGTGTGCAGTTGTAACAGAATTTGACATTCTCAAATCAGGTCCTCTTCCTCCTAATACAAGTGCTCAACTGGCAAAATTAGTGGCCCTAACAGAAGCCCTAAAACTGTCAAAAGAATAGAGAGTCAACATCTATACAGATTCTAAGTATCCCTTCCTGATCCTGCATGCTCATGCAGCCATCTGGAAGAAAAGGAAAATGCTAACTACAATAGGAGCAGCTTCCCATAGAAATAAGAGAGGTTACTTTAATAGTTTTAGGGATAAGAGCATTAGTTGCAGCCCTAGCTGGAATCAGCTATGGGTTGATTGCCAATCATGTAACTGCAAAAAAACCTAACCAAAGTGGTAGAGGACACCTCAGACCAGGTAGGCCTTGCCATTAAGGACATACAAAGATCTTTGTCATCCCTTGCCTGTATGGTCATGGACCACCACCTGGCCCTAGATTTTCTTTTGGCTAAACAAGGAGGGGGGGTATGTGTCATGGCCAATACTTCCTGTTGCACATATACAAACACTTCAGGCATTGTAGAGGAACATGCAGATTACATTCTCCAACAGGCTAAGTGGCTCCGGGAGCAATCTCTTGAGACTCAGGTTTCTACACAGGTGTGGGACCAAATAAAATCCTGGCTCCCCTCCAGGGCTTGGTTCCTACCCTTTCTGGGGCCTATAGTTGCCATTATTCTCTTGCTTGTGTTTGGGACTTGCATTTTAAACTTACTTGTCAAGTTTGTTTCTTCTCAAATGCCCCTGATGGAGATGAAAACAACCTACTATCACGGTCCCTTCTAACTCCTCTCTTGTGGTCAGCCCTGATGCTGTGGGACCCTTCATCGCCCCCTGTCAGCAGGAAGCAGTTACTAAATAGACTTTGTCATCCCTATCCCTAACAGCAGTTAGGGCAATCATTGAGAGGGGGGATTGAAGGACCGACTGCAGGGGGTCCCAAAAGATGATAAGTGGTCAAGGAGATACCTCTCCTTCCCAGGAAACTTCTGTCTGCACCTGAGAGACATCTCTACCCTCAGACAATACTCAAAAAGGCCATAAAACCCAATCCCCAACCCCACCCATGGGACCACAGGTTTCTGGGTCCCCCAGCATTCCCCACTATGCAGTTTTTCTCTTCTCTACAAATAAAATCTTTCTGACCTCTGCTGCTGGAGTCTGCCTGGGCTTTCATTCTCAGAGTGGGATCAAGAACTCTGAGCACCTGAAATTCCTGCACATGTCATCTGTGCATCATGCCCACTCTGCTTACCTTCACACTCACTTCTTGAGGACAAAGCAGTATGATGGTCCTCTGAAGAGGGTGTGTAAAAGTAGACTGCTGTGTGTGCTAAAACAACACCCTTCAGTTCTTTTAAACATTCTGTTCTATAAACTTCTCCTTTTACCTACAGGCTCATCCTCTGACCCTCATCCCTCCCTTACCTTGCCTCACACCTGCTGCTCCTAGGTTCTTGAAGTGTGACCTTCACTGTTCCCTGGTTACCATCCCAGAGGCTGGGATAGGCACTCTTTAGGTGAACCCCCAGTGCCTGCCCACCTCCACTGTAACATCTGCCATCTGGAATGATAGGGGTCCCACTCTGATTAGATGAGCTCCTCATGGGCAGATCTCACGAGATCCCTTCATCTCTCCATCCCCAGTGGGCCCTGGAGCCTGGTATACAGAAGAAGCTCAATAACTGGTTGTCTGTGGGTCCCTCTGTCTGCCCCCTTGGCCATCATGAAATCTGTGCTTCCCATCAGGTCCAGGCTGGTCAGGGCCTGCAGTCCTGGGAGGGACCTCAGGTAAAGATTAACAGCTGCCCCATTGCTGGCTGATGATCTTGGACATGTGAAGGCAAAGCAGCATTTGAGCATACCTAACACGGGACCCTTCTGCCCTCTTCTCTTCACAGTGAGGAAGGACAGTGATGGTCTTAATTCCAGGAAGGCCACCTAGAAGCCAGAGATGAGGCAGGCTCCATCAGGTCCCTATGGCAGGTGAGTGACTGAGCAAGGGAGAAGCTCACAGCTCAGCCTGAGTGGGCAGGTGGAAAAGCCAAGGCCAGGATATCTTATTCTGTCACTTCTTCCCTCCCTGCAAACATTCTCCAGTGTCTCATACGGGTGGGCTCAGTGCCAGGCGCTTGGTGGCAATCTGAGATGGTGGCAAAGGGGCTTCTGGTAAGTTCCTGGTAGCAAAATTCCTTCATGCCAAGCTCTCAGGCACACTGGCCACACTGCTGTTTGACCAACGGTGACCTAGACAAGTTCTGCACCTCAGGGCACGAAGCCCTGCCTCACACAGTGGGAATGTGTTTCCCGTGTACAGTGAGCAGCACTGTGTCTGAGGCCACTCTCAGGTGATGGCAAGGAGGAGACTTGGACCCAGGTGCCAGGAGCTCCCCTCCTGAGTAGAGGTTCAGACTGCTCAGGAATGAAGGGCTCCAGAGTGAGTGGGGTGGTGTGGGTGCAAGCCCCAGCAGAAGAATTTTTTAACAGTAGTTTTTAAAGAACATGATACCAGCCAGGCACTGGTGGCTCACACCTGTAATCCTAGCTACTCAGGAGGCAGAGATCAGAAGGATCACGGTTTGAAGCCAGCCTGGGCAAATAGTTCATGAGATCCTGTCTCAAAAAAATCCGCCACAAGAAAGGGCTGGTGGAGTGGCTCAAGGCATAGGCTCTGAGTTCAAACCCCAATACCACAAAAAAAAAAAAAAAAACCAAAACCTCAGTAAACTCAAAGCCAAATCAAGGAGGTGGAATTACATTTTAAGAGTGTGTTTTAAACAGGTGGAAATGACAAAGCACTTTCTCAATGAACCGATTCCAGCATGGCAGAGCTGGCAGAAAGGAAACCTACAGACATCCATTTCTCTGTGGTGGTGGCAGACCTGGGAGAGCAGGCTGTCGCGTGCCCACTCCGCCTCCCAACCTGGCTCTCCTGGCTCTGCCTTTCCTCAGCCCTCAACAGTGAGAGACTAACAGCCGACAACACATGGACCTCACAGAAACCCTGCTTCCACGACTTCACATTGCTCTTCCCTATCCCAACCCTTGCCCTTCTTGTCATATAAGGATTTCTGCAGCTTTCAGCTCCAGTCCAGCATGTCTGACAGCCTTAACCATTCCTTCCACCCACCAGGATTCAAACAGAACTTGCTTTTCCACCCAAACCAGCTCACCCTCCATTATGCCTCTGTATGAATGCAGGTGTGGGATTTAGACCCTAGCGGTGGGCTTCCCTCTTCTTCCTCCCATACTGAATTAGCCAGCCACTGAGCCCAGAAGGTCCACACCTCTGACTTTGTGTTCTGGAATATCCCACCCCATCCTTTCTGGGACTCCCAACCCTTTCATTTAGACCAGTGTCTTCAACCTGGGCTTCTCTCTGGAATTATTGAGGAACACCCGCATCCCACCTCCAAAGTTTAAGACATCTGTGGTGTGGTCTCAGGAGTTGGGGTTTTAAAAGTTCTCCAGGTGTTTCTAGTGTGCAGCCAAGATGGAGAACCACAGTGCAGGAACAGGTAACATTCTGGGCCTAGAACATCCCAGGAGTTTATTGTGGGCCCAGATCCCTCCCAGTTGGGAGGGATCTGCCACCAAGACCTCAAGCTTCACCACCCAAGTGACACTGTTATTCTTGCAGGTGACATGTGGAACACCATAAGCTAATAACCAGCGGCAGAGAGGTCACACCTCCCAAGGTGACCTACTTCTGCTTTGCATATCTCTGTAAGAAAAATCATCCTTAAAGAGAGCCCTATCTCTGTATCCCTCTGACTTTTACCTACACATTTATACCACGGTCAGAATGAACCTGTGTGGCATAGGGGTGACCACTAGACATCTGCAGTCAGTGCTCCTGAGCCTCTGGGACTTGACTGCCAACTTAATTGGGTTGACAGATGGCTCAAAGACTAGTAAAGCACACCTCTGAGTGTGTCTGTGAAGGCCTTTCCAGAGGTGACTGAATGCTGAGGGCTCTAATCTCATCAATAGATTAATACCTGATAGAGTCACACTAAAATGGCATTACTGGGAGGTGGCAGAAAGTAGGAGGTGGGGCCGAGGTGGAGAAATTAGGTCACTTGGGTGTGTCCTGGAAGGATGGATCTTATCCAAACTTCTTCCTCTGACCCTATCTTTGCTTCCTAGCCACTGTGAGATGACATCTCTGCGTCACCACACCTTTTCACCATAATGCTCTGCCTCACCTCATGCCCAGAAACCATGAAGCCTACTGGCCATGGAAGTACGAGCCAAAATAAATCCTTCCTCCTTTAAAATTGATTCTCTCAGGTATCTGTCACAGTGACAAAAGGCTCAGAATATTCTAGGTAGGGCCTGCCTAGCACGGGGCAGGAAGGCCACAGCCTTGCTTTGGGAAGATCTGCCCAAGCATCCTAGTGTATATAAGGGCCCCCAGGCAGGGAGCATGGCCTACCTTGCATTGATCCAGTGGTGTGTCCTCTGCCTCCTGGAAGACCACGCTGAAAGAGATGCTCTTGGGGTCAGAGGAGAAGACCCAGCTGATGGTGAGGCCTGGCTCAGCCACGGTGATGGGAATCAGGCTGTAGGTACTGGACCTCACAAACAGCTCCCTGTTGCCCTCCCCGAAGTTGGTGATCTCTTCCACTGTGAGGGGTAATCTGATCCTAAAATAAAAATGCAGAGGGACCTGATCCAGTGGTAAAGTGTTTGTGTCTATGGGCTAGGTGGTCTGTGGCTCAGAGGTAGCTGGAGATTTTAGAGGCTCTTGGGAGGACAAGTCCTGGGCACTCTTGACCAACAGGCTTAATTATTGGATGTGCAGCTCACACCAACAAATGTTTCCTGAGGGCTTACCACGTGGCTGGTGTAGTTGGGGTTGGGGGGAGGGTCACAGCAGTGAAAATCCTCACACCTCCAACCCTTTTGTGCTTTTGTTATTTTTCAGACAGGCTCTCACGTTTATGCCTAGGTCTCCATTTTATTTATGCTTCCTGCAAAGCTGGGAATGACAGACACACGTCACCACACCCAGCTTTTATTGGTTGAAATGAGTCTTGTGAATTTTTTGCCCAGGCTGGCCTTGAAATTCCTCCTGATCAATGCCTCCTGAGTGGCTGGGATTATAAACTTGAGCCACTGTGCCCAGCCTTGATTCTTTATTTCCAACATTGTTTTTGCCCAATATGTATATTTTTCAAGGACCTGAGAGCAGGTGCAGTTCATTCTGAGAAAGAGGTCTTTCCCGTGATGTGGAAATCTTACCACAATACCATGTAAAAAGTCACTGGGTCTGAAGGAATGTCCCACTCATGTGGGGTCACTACAATCATGTGCTCCAGAATTCTCCTGTACCAGTCACCTGGACTGGGCCTCAGGTCTCTTTGACCTTTCTAGACATCACCCATTCAGTGTGAAGGACAATACTCAGTCTCTCCTGAGGAGGGGCCAACAAAAACAAGGCCAGGCTTTGCCAGCTAGGCTCAAACAGAAGAAATCTACTGTCTACAAGCTTCGTGTTGTAGGTGCCGATTTTACACTGAGTGACTCCAGAAATTCTAGTTTACACAAGCTCAGGGTACCAACAAATTCCCCGTATTCTAAAACAAGTTGCCCTGATATGTCTTCAGATTCGCTTGTGCTTGCTAAGCCTTAGCTTGCTGTCACTTTTTAAAGAGGCAGGAAACAAAATTGACCTCAAGGTATTGTTCTTGCATCTGATTCACATGTACAGCTGAGCTCCTCTCTGTATTCATTTTATACGGTTCTTGATAAGGATTTGCCTCTGATTCTATCTGTTACTCTTATGTCTTTCTTGTCTCTTTACTTCAATGTAGTTTTTTAAGAAGTCTTATTAGGAGCAATTTCAAGTATTTCCTTGCTCTTCCCAACTAAGTGCAACTGAAATATCTGGAATTAATTCAGCAGACAACCACAGTATAACTGAAGGGTAGGGAAAGGATTTGAAGAAAATCACAATGGCTTGGAATCTCTGAGTCCTCACCTGTGTAAAACTGAAAACTGCTTGTCATACTAAGAACCAAGAAAATCACAGCTTGAATGAGGAAAGGCAGACAGCAGAGGCCAAAAGGGACGTCACTCAGATGTTGGAATATCTGACAGGCTTTGCAGCCATCATAGAAATGTCTTGATAGTAATTTCTAGTATTCTTGAAACAATGAAAAACTAAAACAAAAATAAACTCAAAAATAATTACATAAACCTCACTAAAGAAACAAAAGATGTAAAAAAAAAAAAGCCAAGTTTTAAAAAACATATAACAACCAATCACTGGATGGGCTCAAGGGCAAAATGAGTATGACAGATAAACTTGAGGAAAGAAATTACTTGATCTGAGCAATGCAGGGAAAATATTCTGGGGGTGGGAGTACCTGAAGAACAATAACAAACTGTCTCACAGATGTATCAATGGAGACCCAAATGGAGAGGAAAAAAGAGCATATCTAAAAAAAAAAAAAAAAAAAGCTAAAAACTTCTAAAATTTGGTGACAGACATACAACTATAGATTCAAGAACCAAGCACCACTCAAATAGGAAAATCCCAAAAGAAATCCATGCTAAGACTTAACTGAGTTAAACTTCTGAAAACAAAAGACAAAGAAAAAAGTTTTCAAAGCATTTGAGTGACAGGAGATTTCTTAACTAAAACCATGGCAGCCAGAGGAAATGGCATCGTATTTTTTCAAGTGCTTAAAGAAAAGAGCTGTCAACTGTGAATTCTCTTTGTGGCAAAATATCCTTCAGTTATTTTTCTGAGTCTAGCAGTGCATTAAAAGAATTATACACCATGGTCAAGTGGGCTTTATTTCAGGGAAGTGAGGCTTATTCAATATTTGAAAATCTGTCAGTGTGATCCATTGCCGTAAAAAGGTAAAGAGGAAAAAGCCTCAAATGATTTCATCAAATGAGGAGAAAAAAAAAGCATTCAACAAAATTCAGCACTCATTCACGAGTGATTAGGCTGTGAGAAGCATGCGACAAACATTCTGGCAGCTTTATTTTTGCATATCCAACCATCATTTCCTTAGGATAAATTCCTAGATGTAGGCTTTCCAGGCCAAAGGGAATCTAAAATGTTTGAATTTTTGGTCTGTCCTGCAGCTACACTGCTCTCCACACAGGGAACATTTCCTACTCCTCTGACATCACCAGCTTGTGAACAGGCTCTCCTCTCTCCATTCTCCCAACATTTGGCCTGCCCCATGATTCAAGGTAGTGTTATCCAAGAGAACAGGCTGAATGCATTACCTGTTCTCTCCAATCCCATCTAATCCTTCAGGAAATTCCATTGGCGCCATCTTCAAAACAGACCCAGAGTCTGACCTTCTCTCTATCCTTTCTGCACCACTTGGCCCAGGGATCTGTGATTCCTATGATACCCTCCTACCTGGCCTTTCTGCTTCTGCCCTTGTGCCGCTCCATAATCTGTTCTCCACAAGGCAACTAGAGTGATCCTTTCTCAAATGCAAATTAGATTGAGTCACTTTTCTACTCCTAATCTAATTTTGGGCTCCTGTTTCCCTCAGATTAGAAGCCAACGTCTTCACAATGGCCAACAAGGCCTATGCAATATGAACCTGTTTCCTTTCTATCTCTCTGCTTTGGCCACACTGGTCCAGTTCTTGTATCTAGAACATGCAAGGCACCATTCTTCACAAAACCTTTGCACTGACTGTTCCCTCAGACATCTGACTGGCAACTCCTTCAAGTTTTATATTCTTAGTGTCGTTCTACTGAAACTGCAAATTCCCCTGTCCTCTTATCTCATTTTTGTTGACTTTTTTCCATTTCAAGGACCATCTTGTAATATATAATACTTGTTTACTTACATTTGTGTATTGTCTGTCAACCCCTGGTGGAATATAAACCCCACCAGGGCAGGGGGAGTCTTTGTGCACAGGTGTACATGAAGCACCTAGGGACAGCTCCTGGCAGATGGTAATAAGTAAATGTCAATCAACAAATGACTGAGTGTCCTCAATGACTACCATGCAGCCACTGGACACAACATCAGAGAAACTGATGATACGTGAAAACACTCACGCTTTAACATGATGCTGAAAAAGCTTACACCATGAGATTTAGAGTATTTATGTCAAAAAATGATCAGGATGGTTACTGTGAAAACTGTCAGAATAAAAATGGAGTCACTTTTGTCAAAACCTAACAACAACAAAACAAGTCAGGAGATTACAGTGAAAAGAATCTCATGCTTTGCCTGGTAACAAGAAGTGCCACGAGACGCGGCCACAGTCACGATCTTCCACAGAAAACACTCTGCTGGGGCGTCTTTCCAGCCGTGGACTGATGCCTTCCTGATTTGTGATCCCTGTAGGTGAGGATTGCTGTTTGAAAATAATTTTTGTCATCCTCATCTGTCTTTACAAACTTCCCTTTGTCTCAATGTCCTTGAATGTGCACATAGCTTACCATTGCAATATTACTCCCAGATGAACCTACTAATCTTTGGAGAAGGTCTCCATTTGTTGTTTAGGTTGATAGCAAATACCAAAATAGTGTGCTCATTTTTATTTTCCTGTTTTTCTATAATGAAAATACACTGCTCTTACAATAAGAAAATAAAGGAGTGGATGTGGTGGCGCACATCCATAATCCCAGATCTCTGGGAGGCATAGGAAGGAGGATCTTGGTCCCAAGCTAGCCCTGGGCAAAACTATAACTAAAGCAAAAAAGGACTCAAGTGGTAGAGCACCTACCTAGCAAGCATAAGGCTCCGAGTTTAAACCCCAGTACCACCAACAGAAAAAAAACAAAAAAAAGACCCATATGTTAATATATCCTAATGAAAGTAAAAAAAAAAATAACAAAAAAAGCATAAACTGACACCTTGCTGGTGCCAAGTCAGAACTCCAGATGGTACCACTTGCTCCAGAAGAGCCAATGTCCCTCCCCATGGCCACACCTGGAGGCCCATTCAGTAGCCTGCCACTTACATCAGCTCCCCCGACTTCAGCAAGCAGATTTCAGCATCCTGCCCAACGGACATGTCCTCAGCGTCCTCAGGAGTCAACGAGTTTGACGTGGTGTCTCTGGAATGTCACAAATGAAAACATAGCCCTTAGCTATAAGCATACAAGATCCTACATTCTGAGGTCTACAGTCCTGGAGTCACGTAGGAGCCTCAGAATGTGTGTGGGATCCTTAAACCAGAGGCCTGGGGCTGGGAGAAGGCTCCAGGCTGCAGAGACTGCCCTGGAGTCACTCTGGTGACTTCGGGATACATGAGTAAAACCACCTGCCAACTGTCCTCTGCTCCCATACCAGAGGCACTGTCGCCACAGGGTTATTATATCATGAGCACCACTGATTCCTGCCTCCTCGGGTCCATCTCGGGAGCACAAGACCAGCTGTCTAGGGCCAAGGGGATAGCAAATGGTGTAGGCCTGGAGGCAGGTAATGGGTCAGACCATGTACAAAAGGGGCTGACCTAAGACACCTCCCTTTCCTTCATGGTGCACTATCAGCCGTGCAGTGGGAGCTACCATGGAGTACAGCTGTGCTATGGTTCCCCGAGTGTGCTCCATGGAACGCAGTGCTGGGGAAGGCAAACTCTATGCGCTATCTCCCTCTTGGGAAGTCACTGTGTACTTCAACAGTAGACTAAGGCCTGCAGTGAAGACGCTTATCAATTTTTAACTCAAGTGTTCCTGCATTTATTTGACCTTAAAACATTTTTAACACCTTCCGAACTACTGATTCTCAGGACACATTGGCAGGTCACAGCCCCTACACTTCACTGATGGGCAGCCAAGGGTCCCAGGTGTCCCTCAGATACCCTGACTACAGCTCAGGGCACAACCTGCCAGGTTCCACACCCCATTGGGCCTGAGGCGGAGACAGTCTCAGGGATCCCAGAGCCCAACCAGCTCCAGTCCTGAGCTCTGCCAAAGTGGACATCAAGATCCAGAAAGAAAAACGGTTTGCCCCTATGTAAGGACATTAACGAGGAAGATTTCCTGCCCAGTACGGATTCTTCCCCCAAAGGTTGCAACAAGTCCCTTTTCAAGTTCTTGAAGGTCTCTCACCAAATGTCCCAGGTATAGTTAATATGTCCCAAATTATATACCTACTCAGTACCCTCCCTCCTAAGGTTCTTACCAGCCTGATGCCCAGTCCCATCCACTCCAGCCTCACCTACCTTCTAAGGACTGGCAGAACTTTCAGGAACTCAGTCTGGCCCTATCTACCTATCTACTGCTGAGTGTCCCCTGGCATGGCAGACTGTACCCTGCACTGAGTTAGGCTCTGCTGGGTTAGGTTGTGGGTCAAAGCCACAAACACTCTCCATCTGAGGCAGGAGAACATGGCTGGACTCCCCTGGAAGAACAAGTGTCACAGTAGACTGCAGCACATGTAAGGTCAGCTGGCCAGCGTGCAGACCACATGCTTAGTGGGCCCTGCTTGCTGCCTCACACCCACTCAGGAAGAAATTTTGAGGCCCTCCCCAGAACAGAGCCTTGACTTGGGTTGGAAAGCTGATGTGCCCGGCTGAGTGCAAAGTCCAGATGGGGTGTTCTATCCTTCCACAGCGTGGAGTACTTAGCCTCCATCCGATGCTGATGGAAGCCAAGGAAAGAACTGGACAGAGTCTTGAAAGAGGAAGACCCCCGAGCAGCAACAGCTGGTTAGGATAGCAAAGCCACACTGAAACTCCCTTATAGTCATTGCACTTTTCACAGGATTTCTTTTACTGCCGACTTACAAAGCCTGTCTGTGCTGGAGGAGCTCAAGCATCCTGGAGGTGGTGACCTCTGTCTGCAAGACTTGGTTTCTGCTAAACTCCACCAGCCTGGATGCTCTGCCTAGCTAAGGCAGGTCCACTCACGCTCAGGTGCAGCAAGGGCTCTTTCCATCACGTGCCTATGTGCTGCCTGTGCTGGAGGGCCACAGGGGGTGGCAGTCTGCTTTGAAGGTTCTGTCTCAAAAGGATGGTGCTCTTTCCAGCAAGACGCAGCGAGAAAGTATCCTACATGCAGAACCTGTGGCCACCTTGGCAACCTCATCACTTGCTTTGCTGCTTACTTTCTACCCTGGCCCCAGACCTGACTCTGAATCCTCCCTGTTCAACATCTCCTCCTGCTGCATCTCCAATTATGGCTTCCAGAGCCTGCAGCCCTCACCATGGGACAAACAGAACCACAGAACATCAGTACAAGTGAGAAGCAGCTCGAGACCAACCTAGTCTACTCCATACTTGATGGCGGGGAAGCAGAGGTTCAGAGTAGGGCAGACAAACCAGGGGCTACACTGGCTGTTGCATCCTGTCCAAAGTACAAAAAATGTACCCAAAATGAAACAAAAAAAAAATGACATAGGATGAGAGAAACTCTGGAGGCTGTGATAGGTTTCCTGATTTTCCTGAATTTGGGATAAAAGTTGCCCTAGTCTGTTTTTTTCTCTTTCCCTACCCCAAGTAGGGACAGACTTTGTCTGTCTGACTACCACATGACAGACAGTTTGGTGACCTGCAAGTGGGTGATTCACAGAACAACTGCCGCCCCTGGCTCTCTGCCCCTGGCTGAGACCCTATCCGAGGGATGCTGGTGTGTGGGTGGGTGGGGAATGTAGTCTCAAGGTTGTGATTGGGGTGGAGAGTTTCCTTTTCAATGGGATTTCAAGCTGTGGGCCACAATCCATTTAGTGAGCCGTGAACCATTTTGATAGGCTGTGACCAATGTAAAAAAATGAAAAAAGAAAATCTCAGTGCAGTAGCACACTGCGTGTTGTGAGGATAAGCACTGTTTTATGAGGCACTTGTTTTTGACTTTGCAGTATACATGTGTGCACACTTGGGCAGCCATGGAAAATGTATTACTATGGGATGGGTAGAACATTTTTAAACAGACGGGCAACATAAGCATGGCCACTAGAGGGCACCCTGTATCCTACATAGCTATTTCCTTTTCCTTGCTATTGAGGTAGTTTTCTCTGAAAAGCAAGATAAACTCACTGCCCACAAGTGACGTACCTCCTCTCTGTGCTCCAGCTGTGGGACCTACTGCTAGCTGTGGCAGTTTCCTATGCTGGCAGGCCACCACTTTCTGCTGAGTTTCTACCTCCGAGTCTGCAGCCCAGACACAAGTCTATCAATCTGCTCTTGCACCTGGGGGTGATCATCTGGGAGTCCGTAGGCATCCCACTGCACACAACCTGTGCTTAATAAACATCTGCCTTATGTATCTCAGCAAATTCTGTCCTGTCCCAAATGCCCTCAAAGGAGGCCATAACTGGTCTCCACTTTAGAAGTAATAAAAAGATGCGTCCAAGTGAGGCAGTGCAGCTCAATGGCTCATACCTTCCTGAGCGAGGGGGTAACAGTGGGTCTCTCCAGCTAACTCTCTGCAGCTGGAATTTACAGTATTTCTCCACCACAAATCTAAATGCATTAACTTTTTTTTTCTTTTTTTGAGACAGGGTTTTGCTATGTAGCCCAGGTTGGTCTGGAACTTGCGGTACTCCTTCCTGCCTCATTCTCCCCAGTGCTGGGATTACAGATGCGTGTCACCATTTCTGGCCTTAACCTGTTTTTCATTTAATTACTGTACATCAATCCTGCAGGCTTGCTGGGAAGCAGACCCTCTGCCTGTGCAGAACCACTGGCTGAGGGATGCCTGGGGCCATGGTGTCTTGCTGACACTCTCCTATCTACCTTCTGCCTTGCTCAGCCCCATGGTGAGGGGTGCTGCTTTGCCTATCCTCAGGCTCCACCAGTCCCTCTGGTCAGCCTTCCTCCGGACAGCCTTCAGGGAACTGGAGGTCATCGGGTCACACTGCACTGTCCAACACAGTGACCACTAGCCACATATTACTATTTATACTTTCATCCATCAGAATTAAATAAAACTAAAAATGTGGCTCCCAGATTGCCTTAGCCTCACTTCAAGGGCACAATCATGGCACGGACTGGCTGCTGGTGGCCACTGTGTTGGCCAGTGTGATACAGAACACGTCCATCATGGCAGAAGGCTCCACTGGCAGTGCAGATTTTGAAGACTAGGTTGAGCATTCACTCTGGGATGTGGGAGTATCTTTTGATTTTCAATTAAATTTATTTTACTATTATTTATAACTAATTGTATTATTTTTAGTAGTAAGTTTTTACTAGAAAATTCTTAGTTTTCCCTTTAATCATTAGCTTCCTTTTTGCCTAAAAACCAAGAAGAGCAATTGTAGGAACCTGACTTCTGATGACTTGGTGCCTATGGTCTGTCCCCAACAAGCAAACCTGCAGCGCATCCCAGTGACCAGCATGGGGCGCCACTGGGCAAACCCTACCCCACTCACTTGTGGATATCTGGCTGGGATACCTGTTTCTGTAGCCATTAACTCATCCTTCACAGCCGACACAGTAGAGCCTTGCAGCCACTCTTTTCCTCCCAACACCAATACATGCTTTATCCTGGATCTGGGAAGTGACAACCTAACAGCTTTGGGCTGGAGAATGCCAGGTTTCTGGAAAAGGTGAGCAGGTCAACATAGTCTCACTTCCAAGACCAATCTGCAGCAGAGATGCCTGCCACCTCCCTTTTAGTCTTCCCCTGGATCTATTTTGAAAGTGGTTACACATTACAGGGAAAGTCCAAGACAGATTTGATTGGGTCTCACCCTAGGAAGTTTAGAGCTTTGTTTCAAAGGAAAGTAGTACCCTTGGAACAATAACCACTGCTAACTGGCAGATAATAAAAGGCATTTTATAAAGGAGTTGAAATAAAATATTGGCCTCCAAAATGTGATTGGTTTGGTTCCTTGAATTTAGTTGCAAGTCTTCTGTTCTATACAGAACTTTCTATCAGAGAAGGGTTTTTGACAAATGTGCCATCCTTTCTCAACGATACATCTCTCCCTCTCCCTTCCAGATATGAGTATACAGTCATGGAGGGCAATGGGGGCAGACCTCTGTTCTTCCCCATGGAGTCCGAGTTGATTGCTGAGAGATGGGCACAGCCAAGCAAACTTGATAAAGCTCAGGCCATTTGAGCACCACCCCAGGACCCTGTCCTGAATGGCATGGTTGGCTTATCCCTGGAAAAACTCAGGTGTCAAAGCTTAAAGAGTCCAGTATCAGTTAGTCTTATCTAAGCGGCTGTACTGTCCTGAGGTCTCTTTTGGAAGGGCAGGTATTTTGACTCATCTGCCCTTAGGTATTTTGTTCAGCCTATTTACTTATCTACCTGTCCACCATTTCCTGCATTTGTGCTGCCTCTTGGCTCTTGCCCTTCAGGCACACTTCACTCATCTGTACAGTTGGGAAGAAAGGGCAGTTTGAGCTAGTTAATTCAAAAAAGGCCAGAAAACTCGCTGGCGGCCTTCAGATCTTGACCAGGAACGGGGTAGGAGGCATCCAGATCATACTTCGTGTCTTTGACGCCCCATATTAAATGAGTGTGGGCTGATCGCGTGGATTCTGACCTAGGATGGGGTAGGGCGGGTCTCTTAAGAGTTACCAGCCAAGGTTTCTTAAATATTCGGCGGAAACACAGACCACATCACAAAGAAATAGAGGCAGCTCTTGTGTGAGCAAACGCAACTCTGCACAAACAGGGGATCTCTGCTGGTGAGTCATTTACTTTTCCTCTTTGTTGGGCTATTGATTCCCGCCTGTAGCATGGCACACACTGCCCAGGATATAGAGCTCAATTGTGCTTGGCTCCGATTCCATCCCTGCTGTGGCTGACATGAAGGTGGAGTTAGAGAACAGTGAGGACTGTCCCTGGGCACATAGTAAGTGTGTGTAAGCTGATGGGACAGCTACTTCTTTTGCATTTTCTAAAACAAGCTATTATTTCAGATTATTGTTCATTTTCTTTTTTCAGTATAAATCAACAAAACACTGTAGAAACTTTGCAAACTACAGAAAAAGTATAAAAGAGAAAGTTATTTGTGATTCCACCAAGCCAAAGGCTGATAAAATTTGGTCATTTACGAATGGTTTTAAAAATGTAGTAAAAATTATAAAGTTTATCACATATCACCTGTTTTTAAACAAGGGTCCAGAGAGTATGAGGTTCACGGACCCCCAGAATTGCAGGTGCGTGTGCGTGAACTTTATTTATGAGGGAAAGTCTGCAGCTTCTATGAGATTCTAAGGGATTTAGGATCAAAAAGATTAAGCAACATGATAAATTTTTGTCATCTATCTGTTCTAATGGTAATAGCTAATAGTTATTTGCATACTTCTTTTGCATTTACACTGTTCTGGGCATGTTTTTTTTTTTTTTGGCAGTACTGGTGTTTGAACTCAGGGCCGCATGTTTGCTAGGCAGGCGCTTTACCACTTGAGCCGTTCTGCCAGCCCTTGTTCTGGGCAATTTAAATGTACTAGATTTTCCAAAAATAATTAAAAGTACTTCTTAAACATTTTAGTCATATTCTATTTTATGTCTGAATTATAATTAACATTTGTTATCAGACTTTTATATTATTTCTAAAGTTGTATATATTACTTTTTTATTTTCAGAAATTAAGACAGGATTTTGATTATAGAAGATAAAGAAATAAATGTACTTATCTTTCCTATAAGGAAGAGTAATTTTTAATACTCTGCACAGAATTGTCCAGCCCCCAACATAATATTAAAGTGTACCAGTTACACATGAATTTGCACACATATTTTGAGGAGATGGCTAATGCCAATGCAGGGCTTCAACAAAAGCCAGAATAGAAGGAGAACAAAAAATAGGCCGGGGAGGCCAGGCACAATGGTGGGATGGACAGTATGCTTAGGAAAAACAAAGCTGCCAGTTTCATACTGCAAATGATGAGAAAACTGTCTTTGTCCCCATGTGATCACACACAACATCACCATCTGATCTGCTTAATCTAGCATCCCAGAAAGCTTGTAGGGCAGGATGCCTCCTAGCTGACCTATCACCCTCAGAGAGCTAGTCCTTTTGTGGGCTAGGTGCGAGGACTATTTAGTTTTACTGCAGAGCCAAGGTCCTTCCTTGCTGGGGAGAAAAGATGCTATGGCTCCAGGAAAGATGGAGGTCTCCAGAAGCATCAGGGTGGATAGTTTCCAGTTCAGAACACAACTTCAGGGAAAGAAGTGTCTCCAAGTGGATTTGAAAGGGGAGATGACCTTGCCCTTTTTTATATTCTCATCTGCCCAGTCAGTATTTTGATTTTGCTAAGCCTTGCAGATCTTCTGTCCAAACACCTAAGACATCTTCTGGAGGTGTGATCAGAATATGAATGAGGGTCACTCGAAATGAGCGAGTGAGTGATGAGCATCTGCAGGTCAGTGGCAAGGTTGGCTCAGTTACTTCCAGGCCAATGCTTCTGTAGCTGCCTTGCACCCATGCCATGAGTTGTATCAACCTATGTCCCATCTATGGTCCTTTGTAGGGTCACAGAGCAAAAAAGGGTCAGAGGGAAACGACAGCCTTGTGGGGATAAGAAAAGCAACCATATGGCATTTGCTTCAAGCCTCATGGTAGCAGCCGCCTGTGCTCCATTTCAACTGGTCTTCCATTTGTGAAAGGAGAGCCCAAAGCCCTGAACTCTAATCACAGAAGCAAGGCAATGGCCTCTCCTGAGGAAACCTACCTTTATAGATGCCTGTGGATCAGGAAATGAGGCTCTGGTACTGGATGCCTTAAACTGTGATAGATAATAATGGGAAAGCTTGGGTTGGGGGGTGAGGAGAGCCACCCACTTCCTGGTAGTGAAGTCAGCTCATCCTAAGTGCTGGGCAGCCAGGGGTTGTCCTCTATCCCTTGCTTATCTTTGCCCCCTTCAATCTATGTAATGAGGGGAAGAGTAGATGGGACGGACTGCCCAGCTAGGTAGAGAAGTCCTAGTCATCTCCAAACACCTGTGGCCACCAAGAATCTCTTGACAAGGGAGGCCCCTGGAAGGGGGACACTCACAATTTTAATAGCAAATGGTGGAGTATGGCTGGGCACCTGCTGTGAGGCCTGAGTGGGTGAAGATGGGCCCTCCCACTAGAGAACATCCAGGGGGCCACTGAGCCCACTTGACTGTAAGGTGGTCTTGTTTTCAAAACATTTGACCTCAGGGTTTCATGGGATGTGCATGGAGGTCAGCTGGGTAAGATCCTGAGAAGTGCAGGGCTGATGAAGAGTGCCCTGTCTGGGCACTCTCCCCTGGGAACTGGCCATCGACAATACACAGTAAGCCCACCTTATTTGTGGATGTATTTTATGCAATTTTGACCAAATGTGGGAATAAATAAATAAAAGCTAAAATCAAAAGAAATTTCAAAACCAAAAATTTTAAATTCCTGCACACACATTCTGCAGCTCAGTGGATGCAGAGAAGCTCTCGGCCAGTCCCACATTACTGTCAGTTGGGTTGAAATCCTTGTGTGATCTGCTGAGTGTTTCCTGCTCTTAAATTTTGTGAAAATCTGCCTCTCAAAAAGTGAATGATGTCCCAAAAGGAAAGTAAAAGTTACAGTAACCCTCCCAAACCAAAAAGGGTACGTAATGTGCTCAATTTAAGTACTGAAGTGAACATTTTTGGATTTGTTTGAAAGACAGAATGTCTTTAGTAGAAGCTGGTGGTGTTATGGGAAAAATGCATCAAGAATCTGCAATATTTGATGTAGAGTATGAATTAGCATCTAGCTTTTGGTGAACATTGTTAATGTGTACAGCAGTAATTTGGGAGACAGTAATATAGGCACGTGGTTTTGAGTTATGGAAGCTCAGACCTACTGTAATACGATATAGGTAAATTTGAGTAATTTTAGAATTCTGAACTCTCTGAATCCTGAGCATGTGTGGTTTTTCCTCAATGGTGGTCTCCTGGGAACCATATGCCTGCCCATGGATACCTAAGCTCTTCTGTCTTACACCACGCTGTTACTGAGTATGACATTGGGTAGGTTTAGAGATAGACTATGTGTCTCCTATTTGGCTAATGGACAGTGAGAAGACAGAAAGTGTCACTCTCAGCCCCGAATTCAATTCCTGGGTTTTGCCTCACAGGTGTTCATCAGGATGGACACCACGGCAGAGTATGACTACAAAGACTTTGAGTTCTATAACACTGGAAATGACAGCAGCCAGGAACATCAACGCTTCCTGCATTTCAGCAAGGTCTTTCTGCCCTGCATGTATGTGGTGGTATTTGTCTTTGGCCTGGTGGGGAACTCCCTGGTGCTGGTCATATACATCTTCTACCAGAAGATGAAGAGCCTGACGGACGTGTTCCTGATGAACCTGCCCCTGGCTGACCTGGTGTTTGTCTGTACTCTGCCCTTTTGGGCCTATGTGGGATTCCATGAATGGGTCTATGGTGAAGTCATGTGCAAGATCCTACGAGGCGTCTACACTGTGAACTTCTACACGTCCATGCTCACCCTCACCTGCATCACTGTGGATCGTTTCATCGCAGTAGTTCAGGCCACCAAGGCCTACAGCCAGCAGGCCAAGCGGATGGTGTGGGGCAAGGTTATCGGCGTGCTCATCTGGGTGGTCTCCCTGCTGGTCTCCTTGCCACAGATCATCTACAGCAGTGTCCAGTATCACGACAAGCCCATCTGTGACTACCAGAATGAAATTTCGACTGTGGTTCTTGCCACCCAAATGACTCTGGGATTCCTCCTGCCACTGCTCACCATGATTGTCTGCTATTCCATCATCATCAAGAGCCTGCTCCGTGCTCGAGGCTTCCAGAAGCACAAGTCTCTAAAGATCATCTTCCTGGTAGTGGTTGTGTTTCTGCTGACCCAGACACCCTTCAACCTCGCCAAGCTCATCCGGACCACAAGCTGGGAGTACTATGCCATGACCAGCTTTAATTATGCCATCGTCGTGACAGAGGCCATCGCGTACCTGCGGGCCTGCCTTAACCCTGTGCTCTATGCCTTTGTTGGCCTGAAGTTCCGGAGGAACTTCTGGAAACTTGTGAAGGATGTGGGCTGCCTCCCCTACCAGGGAGTCCCAAATCAATGGAAGTCCTCTGAGGACAATTCCAAGACTTGTTCAGCCTCTCACAATGTAGAAGGCACCAGCGTGTTCCAGCTGTAGGCCTTGCTGGACTTGGAGAAGCTGCTGTGGAATTCCCAGGAACATGACCGTGACCTCTGGATGCAATGTGCAAGGCTTTGTTTGTAGCATGTGTGTTTTCACAGAGAAGTAACGCTGTGGATGATGTGAAATGCTTCTTCTCAGACATGAACAGACCCTGCTCTCTCAATATCTGAGCCAAATGCTCTGGGTGCAGGATTTAAAATTTTTAAGGACTTTCCCCCCTCCATTCCCAGGAATACTGAGACCAAGGGAATGACATGTGACTCTTAAGATTTCAGGGTCTCCTTTACAGAGCCTGGGACTGAAGGCTGACGAGGGGAACACAGCCAACAAAGTCCTTGATGGCAGGTGGCATGTTGGGTTCCCAAGTTCAGAAGACTCTTCTGACTATTCTACTGACTACTTCAGCAGCCTTGAGAACAAGTGCTGGTCTATGTGGCTCAGACCTTGGTCATCAGACTTATCAGGAATAAGACCAGGCTCTGGTTTTGATTTTTGTATAGGTGGATACTATTGTTCATTTTGATTAATCCCAGAAGGACCAGCACTGGGGTCTGCAAATGGGCACAAAAAAATTAACAGTTGGCTGAGAATTCCAGAGAATTCTAGAAAAGTGTACAAAACAGAACTTAAGACTGTAACAAATCCAAGCAGAATTTTTGGAGTGAACTCTCTGGCTTTGCTCATTCAAAAATGGAATTATCCAATGTCTGCCCTCCCCCATGTACATAAATTTGTACACACTTGAATCATGAGTTTTATGACTAAGAAATAAAACTTTTTAAAAGCCTCCATACTACTTTTATCTTTAGTTGCATTCTATGTTAATGTAGTATGCCTGAAACATACAAAAGAAAAAAACTCCACAAAACCCAGTTACTTCTGGGCTCAGAGCAAAGGAAGTAAGTTAAATTTCTGGGCAATGATCTATGGAGGAAATGGAATAGATCAGTGGTAACAACCCTGCTCTTTCATTGTGGTTTCCAACCTCCTACCCCAAATGTGGGGTGCATTTAATTTCTATAATATGGTCACAGGATGAGGTATGGTTTTAAATGTCAGACTTCTGTAAATGTTGATTAGATCCTGTTGAATAGTCTTAAAGACGTTTGTTGGGTTTATGCATCCCAAAATATAGAGAAGCACCTGATAACAGCTGAGTGGAAGGGACAGAGGCAGGCCAGAACTGACTGCACTTGCGGTTTGGGAGCTAGAGATGATAGGCCAGAGTTGAATGCCTGTCACTCACCAGTTGGTAAGGCCTTGGGCAAATCACTTACCCTCTGACCACCTGCTTCCTTTCTTTTTGGTGAAACATGGATCATGGTAGCACCAACTCCTTAGTGTTGGTATGAGGAGGACTTGAGACAATGCATACCAAAAACCTGGCACAATTTGCATTTGATGGTAAAAAGGCTCCACATTTCTTATGAGAACTAGTGTCTGTCCTGAGGGGGAGGGCGTCCTTCCTGTGTGCCTTCAGAGATGTGGGGTATGTCACATGCACCCTGGCCCACATGAGCTCCAGACCTTGGAGGGCCCACATGGTCCTGCACACTAGTTCACAAACACACCTGCATGAGCCCAGGTACTTCCTTGCTGTGTTCAGGTCACACAGAGCACTGAGCTCTCCCTCAAATGACCAAGCCTGCCCCATGCAGGGTGACAAGGCTGACAATTATCCTCTTAATTGGTTTCCAACAGGGAGTTGTTATGACCTTCCCTTGTCTCCCTTGTGCATTCATCTTAATGTAGACCGCTTCTGACAGAGGAGCCACTAGGTTCTGGCTTCCCACAGTGTCCTAGCCCAAGAGGCAGAGGCCTGAGTGGGAAGGAAGAAGTTAAAAAGTCGAAGACAGGACCCTGTGGCATCTGTACAAGTCTCCCTAGGGAAGCAGGGCTGGGTGTCCATAGTGTTCAGTGACAGTGCAACTCCCTGTGCACTCCTGAGCAAAATGATGAGAGCTGATGCTCCCATCATCTTCAAAGTTGGGTCCACCATCCACATCCCTGGTGATAATACCTCGCTGGCCACTGCAACAGAGGGGCCCTGCTGGGATCACTGGGCTTTCCTTGACCAGCTGCCTGCCTGCTGAGTAAGGCAAATGAAACGGAGTACCTGCCTGAGCCTGCTCTCTCTCAGGTTCCTGACAAAAATGTTCATGTTGGCTTTTCTCCAGCTTGGGAACACCTGCCTGCCTGTTCCCAGGACAGCACAACTGCACCTCTGTCTCCTCATCACCTGTTGTTGCACTCTCTCAGCACTTACCTGCTACTCTCAGGGAGATTATCAGCCTCCACTCTTCCGGGTCTGGGTTATCACTGGCACAGCACGTGTAGGGCTTCATGTTTGCCCCTCAAGCCACACACACTATAGCCCAGGAAGCAGAAAGACACTGCTGTTCTCAGAGGAGACTGAAGTACGGAGAGAAGAGCCAGCCCTTTTCCTCACTGCACTTGGTGTTTGCAGCAACTGCCAAATGGCAGGTTGTCAAGGGAGGGCTGGGAGAGGGGCTAACTGGGTGTGGATCCTGCTGGCGTCCAGATTGCCCTGACTTCAGGGTCTGAGGGCAAAGAATGCATGCCTCCCCCACAAGATTCATGACTCTTGAGGACAAAGGCAGCACTTACAGGATTCAGCACCAGAGATATGGGAGAGGCAATGGATGGCTGTGTTGCCGAATGCAAGGTGATCCCACTCCAAGGGGCTATATGGCTACTAAGAGTTCTCAGTGAGTACCCTGGACCAGGACATGGTACCATAGGAGAGCAAAGCTGAGGGGCAGGGGCTGGGTGAGGAGCTCAGGGTCCAGAAGCAGTTCAGTAGTAACCCAGGCCTTATCCTCTGGGGGATCTCAAGGCAGGTACCCTGGCCAGGTTGCCCCACTTTTCAGATAAGAAAACCAAAGCTCACGCAACACAGCAAGAATTTTGCCTGCTGAAGACAACCTTTCTCTGCTCCCGCATGTTGGCTACAGTGGTTTCATGCAGCTGACAGACCGCAGCATGCCTACCAATCCTGTACTCATCTGAAGGCAAAGCTGTCAGGTCAACCCAAACACAAGGTGGTTTTCTAACCTTAACCATTATCACCATATCCTGTTCTTGTTTGTTTCTGAGATACCAGGCATCAGATCCCCTGGTTGGTGACCAGCGTTGCCCTAAGCTAAGCACTCTGACCACGAAGCACTGGTTCTGAAGCAATTAGTGGTAAGCAGCCTGGGTAGGGGGTGAGTTTTAGCTCACCAGGTGTAATATAGAAATTTAGAGGTGTTTTCCTTGGAGAAGATGACAAGGCTACAAGGTGTAACTGAGGCTTGCAATAGCAGACATGCACAGCTCAGCCAGACATCACAACTTGGTGTCAACATCTGGAAAACAATACACTTCCATGGAAAGCTCCTCATGCCACACCCTGGCTAAGTGCTTCACACACATGGCTCTCATCATCTCTTCCTAACAACAAGAGGGTGGGTGCGCTTCCAGTCTCCTCTGCACAGGTGATGGAACTGTGTTTGGGGACTGTACTGCCAGGGCCATGGAACCTAGAGGTGGAAGGCCAGGAACCTGTCCAAGTGTATTGAGTTCTAGAGCTCAAGCTCTTCACCACCAACAGCCTGAGCATTTGGTGGCCAGGAGGGGAGGCCATGACTTGGTAGGAGCTGAGTAGAAGCCAAAGGAGTCCAAGCCCAGTGCCCCTGCTTGCTGGCTCTTGCCCTACCTCTCACCCTATATGAGCTGCCTGCCAGCTGGGCCCTGAGAGCAGCTGCTCTCTGGGCAGTAGAGATAGCAGAACAGGTCTGGCCAACTGAGGGAGAGGGCATGCAAGGTGTGTTTGGAGGATTCTCTCCGCCATAGGTGAGGGGCCACCACTGGGGCTGAGCTGGGTGTGAAGATTTCTGGGAGGTCACTTAGGGAACCCATCATGCCAGGTCTCCTCGTGAGGGTGAGGCTAGACTTGGGGGCCTCTTCTTGTCTTATCACTACCAAAAGGGGCCAGATAAACTACCACTCAGTGCCAGAATGTGTGTGTGCATGGAGGAGTGGATGTGGCAGGAGTGGATGGGCCAGGCAGGGTTTTGATAGGTAGATGGGAATGTGGTGAAGGCTGAGCCCTCCCAGCTGAATGTTAAGCCTCTGGCTGGAGGGGGGAGTTCTGGATGTGAACCTCATCATAAGCTCAGACGCTTATGTCAATGGGACAAGCCATCTGGCCTCACAGCCTTCAGCTTCTTCACTGTAAAATGGGATAATGCCTTTGCCTTAAAAGGCAGCACTGGCCCCAAGTGAGGCTGGGTCAGGGAAAAAGGGATCAGAAAGTGCTCAACAATTGCTTTAAACAGTTCTATGTCCAAGGGCCTTGTTCTCCCCAAAGGTTTGGTCTTAGTGTTAGTCTCTACTGGGTTATGTCTGATCTTGGATTTGCTAACTTTCCTACCTAGGTTTCCTGCCACAGATGTTCAGGCCACTTCACAGCTCTTTATCTCCCACACTTTCTCAGACTCTTCATGTTTTTTATTTGGTCTTAAACTCAAGAAGAAAAAGAATGCACGGTGAAGCTACCAGATATTCTTGGGTTTATCTCTAGCTAACACACAAAGGGGAGTCTATAATGGGGCCTTTTGCTGAAGTGAAGAGGTGGCTTTTCCCCCTAACAGGTAAAGTGCAGGGCCTGCAGGTTCCCATCAATCAGTCCCAGATCTGCCTTGGAGGCTAGCACACTGGTGGTTTCCTTTCCCTGGAATACTTCCCAATTTCCCAAGACCAAAACCATATGTATTTGTCAGCAGTCAGAATGCCTTCTGTTTTTGTTCCTACTGGGGAAGGGGAAGAGGAAGGGTGAGGAGAGAGGAAGATGCAGGGTGGTCACCTTCTCATGCAGTGTACAGGAGGCAGCAAGACACCTTTCAACCACTGGTACCCCTCAGGCCCCCAGGCTCCTGGTCCTGCTCATGTGACTACCTACTTCTCTGCTTGTCAGGTGATGAGGGCTGTGTATAGCTTAGTAGTGAGAGAATGGAACATGTCCTGGGGCCCACTGGGCCATGGGGCTAGGAACACTGCAGCCTACAAGGGCCTGGGAGGCCTTCAGAGGGGGTGTCCCAAGGGCCCACAGCTGCAGAAGCAACAGTGAGTAGAGGCTGTCTTGGATTGAGTGATAGGGGACTTTGCTCGTGAGCCAGCACAATGAATGCAGTGACATCTCCAGTCAGGGAACATAGGGGCATGGACAAAGCCTAAAGTCTCCTGAGTCAGGAGGACCCTCCCTATGGCAGAGATGGGAATGACCAGTCTGCCAGGTGAATCCTCACCCTCCTCTGCATTCTGGGCAGAAGGATGGTGATAGAGGCCTCAGCATGAGTCAGCAGGAGCATCATGTGTCCTTCACTAGGGGGAAGCAAGCCAAGCAAAATCTGGACCTGAGGGCTGCAAACTCTTTTTCAAGCATCAGAACAGCCAGCATTTTTCTGCAGAAACCACACTGAGCCATACCCAGGCAAGGACCTTTTTCTGTGAGTCCCCTGGCATAGACTCTTGACATTTTAATATGGTGGCACTTTGTGCAGTTTTAAAAATTTGCCCCCCTGCTGCCCGGCTAGCTCAGTCAGTAGAGCATAAGACTTAAAAATTTGTCCCTGCTCATTCAATAAACATCAAAAGAACAATCCAATTAATAAATGGGCAAATGAACTGAAGAGACAGTTCTCAGAAGTACAAATGGCTACTAAATGCATGAAGAAATGCTCACATCCTTAGTCATAAAGGAAATGCAAATCAAAATGACGCTGAGATTCTATCTTACCCCAGTCTGAATGGCTACCATCAGGAAAACAAACAACAGGGACTGGTGGATGGCCAGGTAGTAGAGCCCAGCAAGTGTGAAGCCCTGAGTTCAAACCCCACTGCCACCAAAAAAAGAAAAAGAAAACAACAACAAATGCTGGCGGGGATGTGGAAGACGGGGGGGGGGGGGGGGGGGGAAGGAACCCTCATACACTGTTGGTGGGAATGTAAGTTAGTGCAGCTACTATGGAAATTAGTAAGGAGGCTCCTCAAAAAATGCAAAGTAAAACTACTATATAACCTACTCTACCACTCTTGGGCATCTGGTCAAAGGAGTATAAGTCAGTATACAAGAGAGGCACCTGTACACTGTGTTGATAGCAGCACTATTCACAAGAGCCAAGCTATGGAATCAGCCGAGGTGCCCCACAACTGATGAATGGATAAAGAAAAGAGGTATTATTTGACTATAAAGAAGAATGAAATGATGTTATTTGCAGGAAATGGACAGAACTGGAGATCAGGTTGCGTAAGAAACACCAAGCTCAAAAAGCCTAATATTACATTTTCACTCATATGCGGAATCTAGACCTAAAATGATGATGATAACAATGACAGTGGATCGTGAGTATGAAAGGAGGACTGTGTGAGGGGGAATAAGCGAGGAGAGGTGAGAGAAGAGGGTACTGGCGGGTGAACATGATGGAAGTACATTGCACATATGGGTATACATATACATGCACACACATACACACACATACATGTATATACAATATACATACATAAATGAAGACAGCAAAATAAAACCCACTCAATACTGTTTGAAAAAGGGAGGGAGAAGGAGGAAGGGCTTAGGGAGTTTAATAAAGGGAGGAAGTCTGATCCAAGAACATTTTACCTATCTATGGAAAAATCACAATGAAACCCCTCCATAAAGTTATTGTATGGTAATAAAAAATTTTTAATTGGCCCCTGAAAAATTCTCCTCACAAACCTTGTTGGAAAACAGCAACTGCAGAAAAATGAGAGGGCCAAGGGAGAACAAGCATTAGGGCAGGCTCTGCAGCTGGTGCTCTCATTCCTCTGGAGCCTGCCTTGGCTGAGCAAGCTGCGGCATTCACACAGCGGCCGGTAGGGGCCATAGGTCCAGCACCACAAGGCAATGGTGATGGGCACAGCCAAGATGGGCAAGTGGAAAGTCCCTTGAGTACCACAGGCACAAGGACTTGCCTGTATCTCCACTGTTGTGAGACTGGGGGCCTTGGGTGGGCTTATCTGGAGCTAAAGGACTTCTGAGATAATTACAACTAAATCTGAGCTTCCTTTCCCCTGGCATTGTCTCCAAGACTGATAAGTGTTTCCTAAAGATGAACTGCACTTGCCATGTTGTGGCCCACAGACAAAGTACCCCAATCACCAAACACAAGACAGCCCCTACTCCCCATTGCTTCTTTGATTTTGGGCTTTCCTCTCCTTTCTGGAATGTTCCCTCTGAAGGCTCCCCTGACCACATATGCTGTAGTGTTGTCCCTGACCTGGCAGTCCCCTGGGCATGTTCTATTCCATTAGCACTAAGCAACATTCTGCTCTCATCACCTGGCAAGCAGGTAGTAAGGTGAGTAGGACCCGAGCCTGGGGTCCTGAGAGCAAGGCTTTTAAAGAGCAGCATGTTTTTCTGAGCCATGGCTAAGGGCAGCAATGGCAAGAGTTGCTGTCATGGCTGAATTGTGTCCCTTCTTCAAATTCACATGCTGAAGCCCTAACATCCAGTTCCTCAGATTGTGACTATATTTGGACACAGGCCTCTAAAAAGGAGAGAAATTAAAATGAGACCTTTAGGGTGGGCTCTAATCCAATCTGACTGGTGTCCTTCTAAGAGAAGGAGGTTAGGAGATAGAGGTAGACACTGAGGTATGCACACAAAGGATACCATGTGAAGAGGCAGCCAGACAGCTGCCATCTGAAAGCCAAGGAGAGGAGAAGAAACCAACACCGCTGGCACCATAACTTTGAGGAAATACTTTCCTGCGGCGTAAGGCACCCAGTCTGTGGCATATTACTATGGGAGCCCAAGCTGATAATGCAGTTTCTCAAGCCAAACAAGGCAGGGCTTAGTGAAGATGCTGACATCAGGGCGCCACTGACACTTCTCAGGAACTGACAAGGCCCCACCCTGACCATTCCCCAAGTGCTGGCACACTTCAAGGGCCATCCTGACCAAGGCACTGTTCTGAGGTACCTTCCCTTCAGCAAAGACAGCTGATCCTGTTTCCAACATCTTACTTTCCCAGTCCTTTGATAAGAAGGCGCAAGGGACTGGCACATAATGAGCACTCAAAATGGATTGATATTTACTCACTGTTCAGCTACACTTGGGTCAACAGAATCAGTCTCAGTGGGTGTTTCAGGCAAGGAAGAGCCAGACTCCTGGATCTGGCACAACTCCTCATCTGTGATGATGTCAAACACAGCATCATCTGGTGGTCTGTAGTCTGGGTTTGCTCTGGTTTCTGGAGAGGCAGAAAGGAGAGAAGACACACACACACCATCATGCAAAGGATGGGAAAGTGATGGGTGCGGCTATGCAGAATGAGCCAATGGGACATGCTTTAAATGGTCACTTAACTGACTGCTGCTCTGTCTAGCTGTGAGAGATGGCTGTTGGGGACATTCTAAAAAAGCAGGTGGACTACAGATGAAATTGAATGCACAGCCTAAGAGACTTCTCAGAGTCAGAGTAGAGGTTTTAACTTCTTTCACATTCCCTGGGTTCCTTACTAGAAGGAAAAACCTATCAAAATGTTATCAGGAAATAAACTTGCATTAAAGACCACACGTGTCTGTGCCACCGAGACTTTGTTCCATAAGACCAGGCAGTGCGTCTGTGAAGGAAGACTCTATCTGACCTGCACATCCCCCCCTACTCCCCGAAAAGGAGCCACAGTAGGCCTTGTGTTTGATCTTGTAGGCCACACAGTAGAAAGGCCACTCTAGGGAGCTACTGTGCCAGTCACCCAACCATAAACACTTGCTAGCATACGTCATGGAAAAGGTGAGAACAAGTCTGGGGTAGAACAAAAACAAAAACAAAATGAGCAGACAGGAAATGTCAGAAATCAAAACAAGCCACCTCAGCACGCTGGCATAATGCTAGTCTGCCATTGCTAGGCTACCTGCCAATGATCTAGAGCAAGGGAACCTCATGGCCTATTTAAAAAGAATGGTTAATGTGAGCTCTAAGTTCCCAGCTGTCCTTCTCTGCTTTAAAAGATAGGTTCTAGCCAGACACTGGTGGCTCACCTGTAATCCTAGCTACTTAGGAGGCTGAGATTGGGAAGGTTGCATTTCTAGACAAGCCTGCGCAAACAGTTATTAAGACTCCATCTCAATCAATAACTGGGCATGGTGGTTTGTGCATCTGTCATTCCAGCTATGGAGGGAAGCCTAAAATGGGAGAACTGTGGTCCAGGCCAGTCTAGGTAAAAAGTGAGACCCTATCTCCAAAATAACCAAAGCAAAATGAGCTAGAGGCATAGCTCAAGCAGAAGAGCACCTGCCTAGCAAGTGCAAGGTCCTAAGTTCAAATCCTAGTACTCCCTCTCCCTCCAAAAAATTCTTCCTCTCATCTCAAGAAAGTTGGAGGAATAGACTGAAAAAAAAGGACCATGGATTGGTTTACTTCCATGGACCCAGCCACACTCCTGAACCTGAACCTGTCTTCTGAGGCTGGCAGAGGGATGAGAAAGTGGGCAACAGGAATCTAAAATGATGCCCACTGACAGAAATCAAAGAAAACCTAAATAAACGGGAAGCTTTGGCATGCTCATGGATTGGGAGAGTCAATTTTATTAAAATGTCTATCTCCTCAACTGATCTACAAATTCAGTGCAGCCCCAATGGAAACCTCACCAGGATTGGTTTGTTTTAAGAAATTAAACTGATTCTAAAGTTTAATTGGAAAAGAACAAAACTGAAGGGATCATGCTACCTGATTTTAAGATGCTTTATAAAAAACCATGCTAACCGTAACAGTGTGGCATTGGTGAAAGAATAGGCATGTGGATAATAGAATAGAAAGTCCAGATATAAACCCACATATATAAGGACAGTTGTTTTTTGACAAAGGTGCAAAGGTAATTATTAGGAAAAAGAATAGACTTTCAACTAATGGCGATGGTGTTGGAGCTACTAGACAACTTAGACAAGAAAAGGAATTTCTACTGTACCATACACAAAAATTAACTCGAAATATTCGTTGGCCTAAATATCTAACCTAAAATTATAAAACTAAGAGAAAACAGTGGAAGATTTTTTAAATACTTTGGTCAAGCAAAGCTGGACACAAAATCACCAAAAGAAAATTAAAAGAAACTGATCCATAAAAGACAATAATTGCTAAGTTGGACTTCATCAAAACTACAAACATCTGGTCTCTGAAGACACTTCTGTTCTCCAAAAGAAAGAGAAAAGACAAGCTATAAATTGGAGAAAATCTTTGTAAAACATATACGATAAATAATTTATATCCAGAACACTTATCCAAAACTCAAAAATTTTTTAAAATGGGCAGAAGATTTGAAGAAGATACTAATGCTGTGCAAAGCAGACCTGAGCAGTTTCTTGTACCTAATAAATAACAGGACCTGCCAACCTTCTTGATTTTCCACTTAAACAAAAGGGGGACAGTATTTATGAAGGCTGGCTGGCCAGCATCCAGGTGGACATCAAGGAGGAGTTCGCGGAGACCAATTGTGATGCAGTGATGCCCTTGCCACCTCAGCTCTGCCTCCCTGTCCTCTGCATCAAAAGTCCAGAGCCTGGAGGACAATCTGGACTGGTCTGTTAGGGTGTGTTGGGTACAGAAGCAGCAGGAACAAAGTCCTGCTTCCTTTTGCTTGCTGAGTGGGTGGACAAAAAGAAGAATACATCTTCCTTGACTTTAAGAGAGAGTGACAAGGATGTGGACTGTTCCAGGTACAATTCCTGGTCTTTGGTTACTGTAGGAGAGAGGATGGGTACCAGGGCTGAGGCTCTGAGGGACAGCATTTTCCAAAGTATGAGGTGTATTCCACTGGTGTTAAATTTGTACACAGACCTCACGTTAAATCATACTGAATCCTATGAGGAGAAAGTTATTATCTTTCAATCCTAATGATACCAAAAAGAAAGTCTCAGATTGGTGATAGTATATTTTTAACACCTCTTTGACACCTAAGTTTGGAAAACATTGATTTAAAGCTTGCTAGGGCTGTCTACATGGGATAGCAGTGACACCTAACAGCATGGGGGCAGGGGCCTAACCTTGACTTCCTATGGCCTGGGTCCCTGCTTGGGCTGGTGACAGCATGGGGCTCGGCTCTCCTTGGCTAGTGCCTGAGCTGGTGCTATCAGGGGAAGCAGGGCCTTCGCCGAACTTGTGGAAACAGGCTCGGCAGCAGCGCTCCTTCTTGCCACCGTGCTTGGTCACGACGTAGTTGTTGCAGCAGTAGTAACAGAAGATATGGCCACATATCCTGGGAATGAGACAAGCACAGCTGTGAGGAGAACATGAGTGGGTCTTGTGTGATCTGCTCAGCACTAGGACTGGGCTCTGTTGGGTTCTGGCTCTGCCCTTGCTCTAGAGCATTGCCATAAGCCCATTTCGCAGTATTCCAAATACACTACCTTGGCAAACTTAGTGTGAAAATGTGCTTTAGGACCTTACTTCCTAAGGTACTGGAGGCAGGGAGAGAACGACAGCTGAACCACGTTCCCCAACACCAGGCTGTAGGTATGCACTTCTCACCTTGGGGGCCAAGGCTCTAAGAGAGCACAGGTGCTCACAGGTCTATGCTGACTGTTCTCCTCTGTCCCAATCCCAACCTGCCCCTATTGTTACCCATCTTCTCTGGGCCCTGGGGTGTCTGTGCCTTCCAACTGTCTGTGTTCCCCTAGGGGAGCCTTAGGACCAGCTCTTGCTGGGTTCCAGTAATGCTTTCTTCTCGGTTCTTTGTAGGGTGAGCAGCAGCCAAGAGCTGCAGGTCTCTGTGTGTGCCACATCCCTGTGGGTCCCCTTAACTCCACCCCTACCTCTCAATTTAACTCTTTCCTTTCAGGGAGCCATAAGTGTCCTGCAAGGATGCCCTCCTTGCCTGCTTCCCTATGCCAGCGAGAGTGTTCCTCTTCCATGGAACACACACTAATGCCAGATTCTCCATGTTCTGGTTCTGCGACTGCCAGGGCTTTGGTGGCAGCTCACAAGCCACCCATTCCTGACCTGCAGTGGTGCCGCCGCACCATCCAGCCGAACTCTCGCTTGCAGTCATGGCAGTGGTTCACCTCCGTGTCCCCAAGCCACTTCTCCTCAGCACTGAGCTTCTGCTGGAATTCCAGGGCATCTGACTTCTGCCAGAGAGCATCCTTGTCCCTGGGTCAAAATCACATAAAAGAAAGAATACATGAGAACAAGAGAATTACCCCTGCTGCATTTCAGAAGACTGACACCAAATTTTTCAAGTCATAGAAGGAAAATTCACTCTTATCTTGGAAATTCCCCCTACCCGACCATCAGTCTCCTCTGCCACCCCAACCATGTAGACTTTCTGCCGACGGCATGTGGGAGAGCACATAGGAGGCACATGATGCACAAGGAAGGCTGTGTCAAATACAAGGAGTTGTCAGTATGACAAGGGTCACATGCCACTTGGGCATCTAAACAACAGCGCAGATTACCAGTGGAAGGTTAAGCCAAAGCATACTGCCATGTTGACAGTCTGCATGTGCTAAGTGTGTGTACATGAGCTCAAGAACCATGAATGTACTCCCTGCCTAACTCTTGATGTGCTCGGGACCCTTCATGTTATGGTGTGTCCAAGTAGCAACAGCTCATTGGAAAAGACCAAAGATTTCCCAGTTTGAAAATCTTACCAGACCTTAACCTCCTTTGTTTCTCAGAGAGCTGCATGGTCACTCCCAACAGCCAGATGAAAAGAAGTGAGGCCTTTCAGAAAGGCGTGGCAGTGACCAAATATGCCTGATGTAGCAAGGGGATGTGTGGAGAAACATCCTCATGGCTGCTAATGGTAATTTTCAAGGCTTCTAGTTCCACTCTTTCCAAGATGGAACCCCAGCCAGTACCTGGGGATTGATGTGGCCCCAGCAGCCATCACCCACTGGTAATGTCAATACCAGAGCAACTCAGGTCCTGAGAGAAACTGGTTTCATCACCAGCCAACCTCCAAATCAACCACAGACCTTTCTCTCCTGAAGCAAGAAAGCCTGAATGTGGAAATGATTGGTCTTTTCAGGGATATCTGAAATTGCCAAGAGACAAGAAGACTTTCTCTGGTCCACAGTGTCTGATTTCTGTCCCTAGGAGGCCAGGTACCCACATCAAGATGATGTCTGAGCTCAGGGGCAAACATGCCCAGAGTTCTAAATCTGGAAATCAATGACATGGGGCAGAATTTTTATTATTATTAGTATTATTGTTGTGCTGGGTGAGGATACATTGGAGTATTTACAAAACAGAATTTTTAAACTTTTAAATTAGATTTTGTAAGGCCTAGTGAATTAATAGATCTGGGCACAGCATATCCATGGCTGCCAACATTACAAATAAAGGGCAAATCAGATCTCATCTATCTCTTAAAGGGAATACCTAAAACTACAGGACAATTCTATGAAGTGTTCATGACAGAATTTTGACCCTAAGTCTGAACAAGCCTCTAGAAGAGCAATGGTTCTCAATGCTGGCTCACTAGTGCCAGGTATTAATCCCAGACATCTCCACTCAGTCGGTGTGGGTAGTGCCTGGACATGAGCACTTTTAGGAGGTCCCCTAGTAAATCTAAGGAGCAGCCACAGTTGCGAATCACAGCTCTAATTCTATCAATTTATAGAAAGCAAAAGAGATGGATGAACATGACCTCACAAGGGATAGGCAACCATGACCCTACAGGGATTCAATCAGCAAAATCCAGACGTGCAATTCACACATCCTTGCTTGACCAGAGAAACGACCTGGCTTCTTTAATAGTAAATTACTTCAAGAAACAAAAATAAGAGAGATGGCAGTGAAACCAAGAAACTAAAAGAGATGTAAAAGACACATCACAATCCTAACATATTAATCTAATTTAGATCCTGATTAGAACAAACTATGAAAAAATCATAGGGTAACTGGGAAAATTTGAAACTGACTAGATACTTGCTGACATTAATGGATTAAGTTCATTTTTTTAAGGTGTGGTAATGATACTATGGTTGTCTGAAGTGGAGAGTTCTTGTCTTCGAGACGTTCATATGGAAATATTTATGGATGAAGTGATATTATGTCTGGGACTTCGAAAAACTCTGGCTATGGGTTGAACTCTGGGTAATGGGTTCATGGGGATGTGTTATACTACTTTAGTTTTGCATATTTGGAAATTTCTATAAGAAGAACTTAAAAAAATTGCTGTGAATGACTCACCAGCCCTTAAAAATCAGGATATTTCACATAAAAACCCAGCCTTCCATGCTCTGGAGAGCTAAGGTGACGTGGGTACTGTGGACTAGATGACAATGTGGTACTGACTGGCAGGACCAGCTCTTGAGCTCCTTGATGACAATAAACATCATACTGTCTCCCTTGTGGCTAAGAGCACATGGAGTTTGAAAACAATCACACATCAGTATGAAAACCCACACCCACAGGGGCACCAGTGGGAAGAGCTTGCCAAGGCCTGAGTGGACCCTTAGGTGTGTGGGCCTTAACAACGTGGGCAGAGAGACATGAGGAGATGGGTCACATCCCCGAAGTGCTCTTTTCAGATGTATTTCTTTAAAGAAAGGCCAAGTGCCTGTCAGCCTGACACTCACCTGAGCAGCTCTATCAGCCGCTCCTCCAAGTACTTCTTAGTTCTGTTCAGGTCATCCAGGTCTGCAAGCATCTTTTGGTCATTCATCTCTCGGTCTGTTACCTCCTGGCAGAGTTTGTTGTAATATTCTTGGATTTTTGTTGAGGCCTTTCCAAGTTCTTCCTGTGTCCTGGAGGAGGAGTGGTAAATTTTCCTGAGTAGCCATCGTGTTAGCTTCCCCCTGCCTCTGTGCTCACCTGTCCTCTAGTGAGGGGTCCTGTTGCCCTTCTCAGCTTTTCCCTCTCATAGTGGGGCACTATCTACTCACAGGTTATGCATTCCCCTAGAATTTGAGCCTCTTCCCACCCTCTTCCAATACAAAGGGGCTTTCTGAGAGGACAAGGTGACCCCAATTGCTAGGACACCCCAAGTGAGTGGAACTCTGCATCTGTTGGTTTCTGGATAGGGACTGAGGTTGTGAGGAGTGTGATGGGCAAGACTCGAGAGTGATGGAGATGGAAGGAGTCAGGATAAGAAGGAGAGGGACCACTTCCTGGAGGTGGCTACAAAGGGGAATCTGGTTCTCAGGTGTTTTTAGTTCTCTCTGAACAGAGCATGGTGCTGGGCCCCCAATAGTTCTTCCACCTGATAACCCCCTGAGACCTGGTGAATTCTGTTCTGGGCACTGTGGAGTGTCTCAGTCTACAGTGGAGGCTGGTGGCAACAGGTTGTCTTCCCTACTTTGTCCACTCCCCATTGTAGCTCAGTTGTCCCCTCAGGCAGTGGTTTCTAAGGATGCTCTATATTCCACAATGCCCAGCAAGACATTTGTAAAAGCTCCGTTAGACAGAGGACTCTGCAAGAGACTAACTCATCTGTACATAACACAACCCTTCCATGTTCAGTGAAAAGTTGTCAGAGGACTGTTTTCTAGACACTGGCCAGCAAAATGATCCTATGGGTACAAGAGCACAAAACAAATGAAATTAAATCCAATCCTGGGAAGATGGATTATGCAACTTTGAGCGTGTAAAACAAATGCTCTGAGATCTTATAAATAGCCAGTGTTAATGCATTTTCAAAAATGCCACCAATTCAAGTGGTTCTGTCTATTTAATAAACATATGAACAGGAGCTGGAGAGGGACAGCCAAGGCCCTACAGGATCCAAACACTGGAAGGGGCAGGTGAGAGTTACTGGACAACAAACACTCTGAATCTCTCACTGAGTCTGGGTCAAAGCCTAGAAGGCAGGTGGTAGGAGGAGGTAAGGGATGGGTAAAAAGAGATGGCTGGAGCCTCAGGACAATTCAGTGTGCCTGTCTTTGCTCCAGGTACCAGAGTTCAGTTCCAGCAACCTTTCCCCTTGCTCAACTCTGTTAATCAGGCTTTGGCTGTACTAGTTCAGCCCCACCACTCGACAGTGTGCTCAGGTTTGCAATTCCACACGGCTCAGGGAGGCACTGGGGATGGCCATGGGCCAGCACTGCCCGGACAATACTTTGAAGGCAAAAAGGAACATGATGAGGGGGTGATGGAATGATCCCCTCTCCACAAATGCTGCACGAGGAGTCTGCACAAATGCAGGCTGACCCTGGTTCCTTCACACATTCATTCTTCTCAGAGGTAAAAGGGGACTATTGGGAGGATTAAATAGGTAATTACAGGCTGAGCATACCTAAACTTAAAATCTGAAGTCCAAAATGCTTGGAAATCTGAAAAATCTGATCCCAAGCATTTTATCACACTTTAACTTTGATCTCATTTTAGTTTTTCCAAAGCATGCATTTAATTAGGTAGGAAACCTGAACTAAGAGGAAGGCACACTGCCGTCTTTAGGTTGTAGCAAGCAGATGATAGTTTCTCTCTGACATGCTTCTGATACCAGAACTTTCTGAGCTTGTGGCTTTTCTTGCAGAAGGATTTCCTCCTCCTAAAGTGAGTGGCTAACTTTCTACAGACTGCACCAATCACCCCTCCCCACAAGGACCAGTGGCTGTGTGGGTGGCCAAGTGACTAACCTTTCCAGGTTTTCACGGAGGGCAGCTGCCTCCTTGTCCTTCTGCAGAATGGCAGCCTGGCACTCTGAAAGATGGTTGCTGGTGCAGCTCAGCTTCTCCCCCATGGCAGCTTGGGAGGCCTGACACAGGACACAAGGGAGAAGACGTTCAGCTTGTACAAGCCCACCAAAGACACCACAAAGAGATTGGTATGCTATCCACTCCACTGGATGGGCCACTTCTAAAGGGAAGGGTTCTTGTTCTTTAAGTCCAACAAGCCAAGAACCTCTGCTCTGTATCTGTGGGGTATGCCACACTCCAAAGTGCTGATTGCAGCTGGCTGTAGTGGTTGGAGGGGCAGCAAGAACCAGAATTCCCTAACAGGAATTGAAGATTGGGGTGGCAGGGAACAGATTCACTTGTAGGACCAGTGCCACCCTGAACCCACTCAGTTTGGATCGCTGACTAGAGAACATCACCACAATTTGCCAAGGAGGACAATCTATTTCCTTTTTGCCCTTGGCTGTTCCAGCCAGGATCCAAGGAGTGGAAGGGGGTCATGACCAAACTCAGGGCAGCTGTGAGCTGATGATCAGGTGGTTGAACATCGATCACTTCTTCAGCTTGGAAACTAGATGCCTTGTGGGAACCCTTCTCGGATAGTCCCATAAAAGCAAACCAGATCCCCTCTCCCTGACAGCTCCACACATGGCCTACCATCAGCTTGCCCACAGCTTCCTCAGCGGCCTGTAGCTGCTGTCCTTGCTCCTCAAGCTGGGCCCTGAGGCTCCTGCCCTCCTCGCTGGCAGTCTGGAAAAGACATGAAATGGATCATAAAAGAGGGGTCTTTGCTCTGACACCCCTTCAGACTCATCACCCAAGTGGATAAAAACAAGCTACTGCTCTCTTCATCCTCAAACTAGCTCCTCATACATTTTAGTCTTTCTTGGTTAAACAACAACAACAAAACTTTCAAGCTTACTAAAAAAAGAGACTTAGCTTGTTCCTCAAACTTACAAATTAATTTCTTCAGGGGGCATTTCTGCATGAGGCCCATGAGCCTCACAGAGATCTGTGGGGTGGGTGGCCCTGAATGGAGAGACACTTCTGGGGACTGGGAGGAGTGGCCTTGAAAGCAGAGACCTCAATGCAGACAGACTACAGTGTTAAGAACTGGAGACCATAGCGCTGTGAGCATCTGACCATATCCTCACTCATAACCATTCCTAGCCTCTCCCTTCATGTAGTAACAAAGGCACCTAGTAACTGCTGTTCTTAGACTTGTCTATTTCAAGAGACCTATAAAAACGCAGTCAGTTCCTATAACTCTCAGGATGGCACCTGGAGGTGCTTCAGTAAGAACCCAGAGCCAGGACTGAGGCAATCACAGCCTGCTGGCATTCTGCAAGAGGCTGCAGAAGGAAAACCCAGAAGACACATGCCTGCTTTGAAGTAGGCAGCCACCATGGAACTCCTGTTGCCATGTGGGTTATGTGGACACAATCTTTTAAATCCTGTGATTTCAAAAGAAGCCATGAAACAGAATTTGTAAATATCTTGCTCTTGAAATACTGACTACTAATTTTAAAAAATTCTATGGGGCCAGTTCTGTCTGTCATGGTCCTAAGTTTAGACTGCTGGGATAAGGAATCACTCCCTGGCATTCCGCCCCTAACACGTTCCTGCAGGGAGGAAGATGCTGCTGTGAGCAGGGTAGGACCATGGGTGTCTGCCTGCCATGGAACATTCTCTGGCCCTCACCTGTTTTAGGGCTGAAGAACTGTCCCTCAGAGAGCTATCAGGCCCGCCCTAGGGAGGCAGGTGGAGCCCAGAAGATTGAAGCTAGGATTACCTTTAGTCTGCTTTGGTAGTCCATGATCTCAGTACTCAGCTGGAACTTGAGGGTGTCACGCTCCTGGTGTGCAGCCTCTTGGAGGCTGTGGGCCCGCTGCTCAGCCTGGGCCAGCTGGGCCTGCAGGCCAGGCAATGAGCTGGCTGCCTCCTCTGCCACCGTCAGCTTCTCCTGCAAGCTGTCCTTCTCTTGCTGCAGCCCTGCCACTTGGCGCTCCAGGCTCTCTCGCTCCCTTGCAGCTACCTCTTTGGAGTCCTGGAGCTCCTGGGCAGCAGAAGCCAGTGCTCCCTCCACCCGCTCCTTCTCCGCGGTCAATGCGCAGACCTGGATGCCAAGCTCGGCTGTATCCGTGTTGGCCCGGTGCAGCTGCTCCTGAAGTTCAGCATGTTCCAACTGGGCTTCCTCGGAGCTGCATCTGATACGCAACAGCTCAGCCTTCAGGGCCTGCAGCTCCTTCTCCCACTGCTGGGCCTCTGTGGCTCTCTCCTCCTGTTGTACACCTCCCTGCTCTGAGCACTGCAGCAGTTCCTGGACGTGGGCCCTGTTAAGGGCTTCGTTCTGTTCCTTCAGCTGCTGCACAAGGGTCTTATGTTCCCTCAGGATGGTCTCAGCCACACTCAGCTGGCTCTGTACCTTGTCCCGGTCATGCAGGGCTACGTGGAGCTTGGCTTGGAGGTCTACCACCTCTGCCTGAAGCCGCTGGGCCTCCCCATGATGGACTGCTAGCTGTGCCTTACACAGGGTCAGCTGGGCTGCATCATCTTGGGATGGCCCGAACCCTTGTTGGCCTTTTTCTGCTGTGAGGGCTTCGATCAGCTGGGTCTGCTGGTGGCACTGGCTCTCAAGAGCCCTGAGCTCCCCATCCCGGGTCTCTGCCAGCTGCCGGCACTGCCCTACTTCCTCCCGCAGCTGCTGGCACTCACCCTCCTTGCTCTGCAGGGCAGCCTCTTTCTCTGCCACCTGGGCCTTCATGGCCTCCTTGGCCTTCTTCACTGCCAGGAGGCTTGCCTCCATCTGGTTGCCCAAATGCCGGATGCTGGCCTGCTCAGCCTCCAGGGAGGCCAGGGAGCCCTGGATGGCTGCCTCCCGCTGCTGCAGTGCCTGGTACTCGGTCTGTAGGGCCTGCAGCTTGCCCTCCAAGAGCTGGTTGCGCTCAGTCATGTTCTGCAGTTCCTTCTGCAGCTCTGTGTTGGCCTGCTGGAGCTGCATCTCCTGCTCACCCCCCTGCACCTTGGCACTGTCCACCTGTTCTTCATGCAGGCACTGCTGCCCATCCTCTGACTTCTCACGCACCTGTTGTAGGGTGGAGCTCAGGGAAGCAGGGGCCTCACTACTCTCACTGGCCCCAGGTAGTTCTGGGCCTGGCTGCTGAGTGAGCTGCTCCAGTGCACCCACCTTCTGGCTGAGGTGGTCTTTCTCCTGGATCAGCTGCTTCTTCTGTTCTTCCAGGTCACTCACATGCTGGCTCACCTGTGCCAGCTGAGTTTCCAAGAGCTGCAGCTGCCAGGTCAGAGACCGGACCTCCTGCTCCAGCAGTCCCTTCTCCTCCCGCCGCAGCTTTTCCTCCTGCCTTGCCTCTGCCAGCTCCTCCTCCACTGAGCTCATGTGGGCCAGTGACTCCTGTAACTGACGCCGGAGCTTGGCTGCCTCCTGCCCCTTCCCAGACAGCTCTTCCCGAAGTGGGGCCATCTCCTCCACCAGGTGCTCCAGGCTGGCCCGGGCCTCCTCCTTCAGCAGCAGCTCCTTGACCAGCTGCTCCAGCTGAGCACTCTGCTGCCTATTGAGCTCCTGAACCTTGGCGCTCTCTCCTTCCAGAGCTTGAAGCTTCTCCCCTAGCTCCTGGATCTTTAGGGCCGAGTCAGTGGTAATAGGCTCTTGTTGCCACTTTGTGTTTGGTGCTGTATCGGCCTTCTCAGCCCTGGCCAGCCAGTCTGAAAGGCTGTCTAGAAGCTGGTTCTTACGGCCCATGGAGTCCCGTGTGGCCTCAAGCTCCTGTGCTAGGGGCTGCAGCATGGCCTCCATCCTCCGCAGGACTGAGTGGTTGTCTTCCTCCTTCTCAGCCACACCCAGCTCCAGGGCCCGCAGACATGTCTGCAGCTCCTTCACAGTATCCTGGGTGGCCTGGGAGACCTCATACTGCTTCTGGAGCTCAGCCACCAGGACCACAAGGTGGCCCTTGTCCTCTTCTGCAGTGTGCTCCTTCTCTTTCTCCACCTGCATGCTGACTGCTGCCCGTAGCTCTTGGTTCTCCCTGTCCAGCTGCTGCACCCGTTCCTGCAGCTGCTTCTCCCGCACCTCCAATTGGTCCAGCTCCAGCCGCATCTCATCAAAACCCTCCAGTGCTTCATTGTTCAGAGGACTATTCAGGTCAAGGCTGGAGATCATCTCCTGAGTCTGGGGAGAAGATGGGGAGACAAAAGACGAGGCAGCTTTTGGGATGAAGCGACCTGGCTACTTGGAGAAGCTTTAGAATTAAGTGAGAGCAGAAGTAAAAATACATGAATTACTTTACCTAAGGTGAGTGTAAAAACTATTACAAGGACTAATACCCCTTTGTTTGTGGCATCTACCACTGGAGGTTAACAGTACATTCCAAGGCAATGAGGCCACGTGTGGGAACTCCACTGGTGTGCAGACTTGTGTTCCCATCCAGCTCTTTCAGCTTTATTAACTTAGTGGATGTCGGCTCTTAGATAATCTAAAGTCAGTTATATTGTATCATAGCTACAACTCCTGGCATGACTAAACCACAAAATGAAGTAGGAGTAGTCATTTTCCTATTTCAATTTTCCTTATATTGATCATTCTTTGATTTGCTGATCAATTTCCACAAAACTATGTATAGCTATAATCCATTTACAGTCCTGAAACAACTAGTACACTACCCATTTAGTAATATTTCTTGACCTGTCCTTAAGCACTGTTCACTTCTTTGCTCATGCAAAAGACTGCTTTTTACCATCCCATCTTATAGCGAAGAGCTGAAACGTCTAGGTTAGTCATACTGCTGGCAGGTGACAGGGTCATTCTCAACCATAGTGCTAAATTGCTTCTTTTAAGATACTTTAAAAGTTTTTTAAAAGAATTTAGTTTTAAATCTATTTGGATGTCAAAACCTAGACTGGAGGAAATACTGGATACAACTTAGGGGCTCTATTGTTCTGGTTGGAACAAGAGGTATTTGAGAACCCTGACCACCACAATAGCAAGGAAATCGTGGCCTTCCTGGCATTACCTGCAGGTAGTTGCTCACCAAACTGCTCATGCTGGAGCTTCGGCTGGGGGGTTTCCACATGTAAGCAGAAGAGCCGGTGGTTAGTGTCCTCCTGTGAGGCCATAGAACAGACATGCTTTTATTTAGATAAACAGACAGAGATGTACACCTACACACAAAGAAACCTTGGTGGTCACGAAGCAAACAGGTGGTGGTATGGGCTGTTATGGTTCGGATATGGTCTGAATGTGTCTAACGAAGGGACCATTGTTGGGACTGGGTCACTAGTGTGGTGGTGCTGAGATGGGGGGACCTTTAAGTGAGGTCTGATGGGAGATCCTTAAATGGGCTGGCAGTGTGCCCCTGGAGAGCACTGTGGGACCCTAGCCTCTCTGGCTTCCTATTTTGGAGATGTCATCTCTTACTCCTGCCCATGCTCTGCCACTGCCATCTTCCATGAAGCAATGAAGTCAAGGCAGTCTCTCACCAGAGGCTGTGCCATGCTGTCTGGGTCTTCAGCCTTTAAAACTGTGAGCTGAATAAACCTCTTTCCTTTATAAAGTATCCTGCTATGGGTATATCACTATAGTAATGCAGAAGAGACTGATGCAGGGCACTGCCCTCCCAGGTAGAGTGTAAAGAGGTAAATCTAACACCTTTCACCAAAGAGCACATCTGTAGGAGAAATGGCCCAAACAAAAAAATGTATACACATATGAATAAGTGAATAAAAAAAAAAAGAGCACATCTGCATAGGTCTGTGGCATGCCCCCCCCACCGGCCCCGCAGTGTGCACATTGTGGTTCCCCCTCCACTTGGTGTCTGCCATGATCTGTCTGCCAATGAAAATTAAAAAAGAAAGTTACACTGTGCTTAGAGGCTCACAGTCACTGCTTCCTCTTACACATACACAATGTGGCTGGAAGGCCTGCTTCCAGTCCATGTGATCACATTGGACAGGACAGATACATCACATCTCCTTCACTGCAGAAGGCTCTGTGGACAGCGCTAGTCTAGACACAGACTTGTGTGGCAGGAACACTGCACCCTCCCACCAGAATCAACTCCTTACCCTAAAATTACTGCACTACCAAACTTGCTAGTCTCAACCCAGCAACTGTCATCCCAGTGTCTGCCACCCTCACATTCCCACATGGGCACAAGGGTAGGAAGAGGGATCTCCCAGCAGCGCTATAAATGTGGGAAAGAACCCCAGTCTTGGGATTCTGAACTACTATGGCTACTCACACAACACAATACACTACACCATGGTTCTTATCCTGTAAAGGACCAGACGGTAAGAATTTTAGGCAAGTGGGATATATGCTCTCTGTGACAAGTGGCACTGTGGCACGAAAGCAGCCTTAGACAATGCGTAAAGAGATGGGTGAAGCTGCCCCACACCATGTTGAGGACTGCAGTTGCTGACCTCTCCTCTACAGCCATAGAATTCCACATACAAACAGGTAAAAATATCAAAACAGCACGAAGCAGGAAAGCTAACTTGTGAAAGGATAGTGATGATCTCATGAGTCAATGTGCATATATTAATTTTAAAATATGCAAAATAAACTATGTAATCATGATATATTATGGCTATAAATATAGTAAAAATAAAAACCCTTGGAAATGGCATGCATCAACTCTGGGGCTGTGATTACTTCTGGAAAAGAGGAGAGGGACAGATGGCAGTGGGGTGGGGCGTTAGTTGGATCTATAATATTTTACTTAAAAAAGTATTGAACATAAGAAAAAAAGCAAAACCTATATGCACCAGCTTGAAGGGGGTCCCATGGGCCAAATATGGGATGATTTAAGCTTCAAAATAAATGACAGTGACACAACGTAACCCATTCAATCAATGATTCAATGATTAGATAGATGAATATGTGAATGGGAAGAGGGAAAGACTTTCCTTATAGTAGAATGTCAACCTATAATGAAGAAGGAATGATGTAGTCAGAAAACCACTGTAGTCACCTGACAGCAATAACTGCTTCCAGCAACAATTGTCAATGGATGCTAAAACTCACAGATGAGAACTTATGAGAAAGAGGATAATAACAACTTCAAAGTATCTTCCCAGGGGATACACAGGGAGGAACAGAGATTTAGGAGAAACTTGGCAAATACCACCTTAACCAAACGACCATGGTTAACTTCACTATTGTGAAATCAATGGCATCGCATGCCTCCAGATATACCGTGCTGACAAGGACAAAACAACTGAAGCATTTCTGCTAAAAATGCTTAGCTTGAATCTGACAATGAGGCAACATCAGAGAAACTCCAAGAAGAAAACAATTTACAAAACAATTGACCTGTAATCTTCAGAAATGTCAATGTCATGGGAGACAAAGACTGACAAACAGTTCCCAACTAATGAGGACTGGAGAGGTGTGGCACTCACTCAGCTGCAATGAGGGCCCTCAGTTGAATCTCAGATTATGAAAGATAGTGTTGGGATACTTCCTGGCATTCGAACAAGGCTCATGGATTAGAAAGCAGTATTGTATCAAAGTTAATTCCTTGACTTAATAATATACTGAGGTTGCAGAAGACAATGTCTTTGATTTTAGGAAACAGCTGATGAAACACTGAAGAGAAAGCAGAATCAAGTCTGTGACTTATGATCGAATGGCTTAGAAAATGAACCAACATGTGTATACAAAGAGAGAATGATAAAATAATTGTGGTAAATGTTGACAACTGGGGACCGAGGTGAAGGACAGATGAGTACTCTGCACTGTTTACAAAACTTTTCTGTAACTCTGAAAAGATTCAAAATCAGAAAGTTTAAAAAAGACATCTGAATGCAGCAAAATGTGAGCGAGTCAATCTCAGTGGCTGCTATGTGGCTATCATAGAAAGTACACCCTGATAAAAATGAGTCTTGATATTAAAAATTCTTAGAATACTAGACGAGTCTGGTGCTCAGGCTTGGCTGACCAACACCTTTGTAACCGAGCAAGTCCCTGCACTCTCTGTGCCTGTGTCCTCCCATTGTTGCTTCCTCACTGGAGTTTGTGAGGACTTTGGTGGAATGTGAGTGCCACATTTGTGTAAGGTAAGCTTGGCTGGTTTGGTGGCCTCAAAAAAGGAAAAAAAACAAAAACTACAGCAACTTTCCCAGCAACCCTTTTGGGGATGACCCGTAGCTTTCACTCCCTTTCCAACAGCCTGGAAGGCCTCCATGATAACAGGATAAGGGCACAAATGAGGAAACGCCCACATATTCTTTCCTACTCCCACACCAACAGGTTCCTTAAAAACCGGAAACTGTGGGCCTTGAGTAGGCATCTCCACTGACGCATACCACCTGGCCAAGCTGGTGTAAGGTTGGAGTCTTTAGATGTTATCTTAGTCACGACTCAACAAAGTTTGCAAAATGAGCAGACAGAAGAGTTGCAAAGCTGGACGTAATGTACTGAGTGAGCAAAATTGCTGAAGAAGCTGGTGGCAGTCCTCAAAACCTCACACATCTCTTTTCTTGGTTTGTTTACTTATTATATTCATTCATTCATTCATTTTGCAGTACTGGGACTGAACTCAGGGTCTCATACTTGCTAGGCAGGTGGCTCCAACACTTGAGCCATATCCCCAGACCTTTGGCTTTTGTTATTTTTCAGGTAGACATTGTGGTTTTGCTTGGGGCCAGCCTCAGATCTCAACCCTCCTGCCTACGTATGCCTCCTGAGTATCTGGGATTATGGACATTATCCACCACACCTGGTTTGTTTTGTTGAGATGGGGTCTTGATAACTTTTTGCCCACGCTAGCTTAGGACCACAATCCCTATCCTGTCTCCAAAGTATTTGGGATTACAAGCATGAGCCACTATGTCTAGCTACCTTGACTTTTTATACCAAGCAATTCTTCAAAGTACCTGGCAAATGTCGGCCAGGCAGCATCTAAGTCATATCCTCTGGATGCCAGGTCAAACTGAATCTCGGTCAGCTCATAGAGTTGGCCTACGATGTCTGAGCTCAGCTTTGGCTTCAGAAAGGGACTTCTTGCATAGTACCACTCACTGCGGAAAAACATAAAATGTGTGAATTACAGAGTAATAAAGCTAAGGAAAGAGTGGGTCTGGTCAGTGCTCCCCCCGTATGGCTCTGCCTCATCAACTCCAACTCAGTTACTAAGTTAATTAAAGACCAAACAACCACAAGTTCATTTTCAGTGTAGACCACGACTCTCAAATAAGCTTACTCTTCTTCAAGTAATTATTATTATTCTTTTTCTTTATAGCATGTCATTCCCAAGAAAAGATGTGAGGAACCTTAAATCTCAATGACTTGCCAAGAAAGATTGTAGGGGACAGGACACTTCCTTTTTTTGCGCAGTACTGGGATTTGAACTCGGGGCTTTGCACTTGCGAGGCAGATGCTCTACCACTTGAGCCATGACTCCTTATCATTTTGCTCTGGTTATTTTGGAGATGGAGACTTCCTTTTGCCCAGGCTGGCCTGGGATGACAGGACACTTCTTTGTAGGAGATAACCTCACCTTCTATTCTCTTCCAGAACTCAATAGGAGACACTGAACTCACTGCTAACTTCTGTTTAGACATCAATTTAAAAGTCAAAGGATAAACTATCCAGAAAAGTGCATACTTTGTCAAAGTGGTTATTTCATTTCACACGAAGCACTAAGAACTTTTAAAAGATAAGGCTGATATCTGTGGACTGTGATGAAGTTCAGCTATTTATGGCTGGCTTCATCAAACATCCACAACAAAATAGCCTTTAAATCAAATGTGCAAAAGGTCCCAACTCACACTGACTCAGAAGGCCTGTCACAGGCACAAGAACTATCTTTATGCAAGTCAGTATTAAAAGTGACAAAATGAAACAAAATGCTTTCCAACTATAGTTTTTTTTTCCTTTTTAACTCAAAAGCGGTTTCTTGAATTAGGTAGAAAATTCCTAAAAAGAGACGAGGCAGAACTGTTAAAGGGGTAAAGATATCCAGGGCCCAGATCTGCAACTCCTAATCCGATGCCCAGCTCCCATTCACGGTCAAGCCTGCTCTCTCTCCTCCCCTCTCTCTTCCCTGCTGAGACAGTAGCACTAATGGCACATAACTGTGACAGAAGGACAACCCCAATTCCACAGCACCTTCCCACCATGGTTGCCCCTGATAGTCTCCTGGTGGGTACAGACTGTATGGCAGGTGAGGGGCAGGCAAGTCTGCTGAGAAGCCGAGGCTGCAACTTGTTTATTCTTGAGCACCAGCTCCAAGGAGCCACCAGTGCTAGGGAAAAGTACCTGGCATTCGGAGCTCAAATATCTGGCTCTGAGCACTTGCTTCACGGCTCAGCATGGAGGGGCCTAGAAAAAGGCATTTAGTGCTCTGAGCCTCTTTCTTCATGTATGAACTCGGCCCTACCTGCCTGGCAAATCAAGGACTGTGGAAGGAGTGGCAGAGGGGAATGATGGATGTAGAAGGACTCCACAGGCACTTGCCATGGCGTGACACGAATGGGTACAGTTGCGATTATTATCATTTCACTGTGGTGTGGAGCTAAACCCAGCAGACTGTCCTGCAGTTACCTGGTCACTTTGGTGTTCATGAGGCACTGCTGTAAGGTGTCTGCCAATCTCTGGTGCACCAAGGAGTAGCGGATAAAGGCTCTTCCTTTCCCAAGAGATGTTCGGAGCTAGAAAAGATTACAGAGTGATAAGAGCTGACAGCCTAACTCAGTATAGACCTGGCCTGATGGAGGGCTTGCAAAAACCAGGTACAGGGCAAACTTGTCACCCAATTCTACCCTACATGTTGGTTTCACTCAAGTCCCTCAAAGAACACAACATACTTGATAATGTCACTCCAGAGAGCGAGGCCTGAGGTAAAGGGCACTTCTTTTCTTTTCTTTTTTTTTTTTCATTTTTCTTTTATTATTCATATGTGCATACAAGGCTTGGTTCATTTCTCCCCCCTGCCCCCACCCCCTCCCTTACCACCCACTCCGCCCCCTCCCTCTCCCCCCCCAATATCCAGCAGAAACTATTTTGCCCTTATTTCTAATTTTGTTGTAGAGAGAGTATAAGCAATAATAGGAAGGAACAAGGGTTTTTGCTGGTTGAGATAAGGATAGCTATACAGGGCATTGACTCACATTGATTTCCTGTGCGTGGGTGTTACCTTGTAGGTTAATTCTTTTTGATCTCACCTTTTCTCTAGTTCCTGGTCCCCTTTTCCTATTGGCCTCAGTTGCTTTAAGGTATCTTCTTTAGTTTCTCTGCGTTAAGGGCAACAAATGCTAGCTAGTTTTTTAGGTGTCTTACCTATCCTCACCCCTCCCTTGTGTGCTCTCGCTTTTATCATGTGCTCATAGTCCAATCCCCTTGTTGTGTTTGCCCTTGATCTAATGTCCACATATGAGGGAGAACATACGATTTTTGGTCTTTTGGGCCAGGCTAACCTCACTCAGAATGATGTTCTCCAATTCCATCCATTTACCAGCGAATGATAACATTTCGTTCTTCTTCATGGCTGCATAGAATTCCATTGTGTATAGATACCACATTTTCTTAATCCATTCGTCGGTGGTGGGGCACCTTGGCTGTTTCCATAACTTGGCTATTGTGAATAGTGCCGCAATAAACATGGGTGTGCAGGTGCCTCTGGAGTGAGCTGTGTCACAGTCTTTTGGGTATATCCCCAGGAGTGGTATTGCTGGATCAAATGGTAGATTCATGTCTAGCTTTTTAAGTAGCCTACAAATTTTTTTCCAGAGTGGTTGTACTAGTCTACATTCCCACCAACAGTGTAAGAGGGTTCCTTTTTCCCCGCATCCTCGCCAACACCTGTTGTTGGTGGTGTTGCTGATGATGGCTATTCTAACAGGGGTGAGGTGGAATCTTAGAGTGGTTTTAATTTGCATTTCCTTTGTTGCTAGAGATGGTGAGCATTTTTTCATGTGTTTTCTGGCCATTTGAATTTCTTCTTTTGAGAAAGTTCTGTTTAGTTCACTTGCCCATTTCCTTATTGGTTCATTAGTGTTGGGAGAATTTAGTTTTTTAAGTTCCCTCTATATTCTGGTTATCAGTCCTTTGTCTGATGTATAGTTGGCAAATATTTTCTCCCACTCTGTGGGTGTTCTCTTCAGTTTAGAGACCATTTCTTTTGATGAACAGAAGCTTTTTAGCTTTATGAGGTCCCATTTCTCTATGCTATCTCTTAGTTGCTGTGCTGCTGGGGTTTCGTTGAGAAAGTTCTTACCTATACCTACTAACTCCAGAGTATTTCCTACTCTTTCCTGTATCAACTTTAGAGTTTGGGGTCTGATATTAAGATCCTTGATCCATTTTGAGTTAATATTGGGATAGGGTGATATACATGGATCTAGTTTCAGTTTTTTGCAGACTGCTAACCAGTTTTCCCAGCAGTTTTTGTTGAAGAGGCTGTCTTTTCTCCATCGTATATTTTTAGCTCCTTTGTCAAAGACAAGTTGGTTATAGTTGTGTGGCTTCATATCTGGGTCCTCTATTCTGTTCCACTGGTCTTCATGTCAGTTTTTGTGCCAGTACCATGCTGTTTTTATTGTTACTGCTTTGTAATATAGTTTGAAGTCAGGTATTGTGATATCTCCTGCATTGTTCTTTTGACTGAGTATTGCCTTGGCTATTCGTGGCCTCTTGTGTTTCCATATAAATTTAACAGTAGATTTTTCAATCTCTTTAATGAATGTCATTGGAATTTTGATGGGAATTGCATTAAACGTGTAGATTACTTTGGGGAGTATCGACATTTTTACTATGTTGATTCTACCAATCCATGAGCATGGGAGATCTCTCCACTTTCAATAGTCTTCCTCAATCTCTTTCTTCAGAAGTGTATAGTTTTCCTTGTAGAGGTCTTTCACATCTTTTGTTAGGTTTACACCTAGGTATTTGATTTTGTTTGAGTCTATTGTAAATGGAATTGTTTTCATACATTCTTTTTCCGTTTGCTCATTGTTAGTGTATAGAAATGCTAATGATTTTTCTATGTTGATTTTATATCCTGCTACCTTGCTATAGCTATTGATGATGTCTAGAAGCTTCTGAGTAGAGTTGGTTTGGGTCTTTAAGGTATAGGATCATGTCGTCTGCAAATAGGGATATTTTGACAGTTTCTTTACCTATTTGTATTCCTTTTATTCCTTCTTCTTGCCTAATTGCTCTGGCTAGGAATTCCAGTACTATGTTGAATAGGAGTGGAGATAGTGGGCATCCTTATCTGGTTCCTGATTTTAGAGGGAATGGTTTCAGTTTTTCTTCATTAAGTATAATGCTGGCTGTAGGTTTGTCATACATAGCTTTTATAATGTTGAGGAACTTTCCTTCTATTCCTAGTTTTCTTAGAGCTTTTATCATGAAATGATGTTGGATCTTATCAAAGGCTTTTTCTACATCTATTGAGATGATCAAGTGGTTTTTGTCTTTGCTTCTGTTAATGTGGTTTATTACGTTTATTGATTTTCGTATGTTGAACCACCCCTGCATCCCTGGGATGAAGCCTACCTGGTCGTGGTGAATAATCTTTTTGATGTGTTGCTGAATTCGGTTTGCCATTATTTTGTTGAGGATTTTTGCATCAATGTTCATTAAGGAGATTGGCCTATAGTTCTCCTTTTTGGAGGTGTCTTTGCCTGGTTTTGGAATAAGTGTAATACTGGCTTCATAAAATGTTTGGCAGTTTTCCTTCCCTTTCTATTTCATGTTTCATGTTTCTATTTCATGTTTCTATTTTTCCCTTTCTATTTCATGTTTCATGTTTCTATTTCACAGTTTAAGGAGGGTTGGTATCAGTTCTTCTTTAAAGGTCTGATAGAATTCAGCAGAGAATCCATCAGGTCCTGGACTTTTCTTTTTGGGGAGACTCTTGATTGCTGCTTCAATTTCATTTTGTGTTATAGGTCTATTCAGGTGATTAATGTCCTCTTTGTTCAGTTTTGGATGATCATATGTATCTAGAAATCTGTCCATTTCTTTTAGATTTTCAAATTTATTTGAATATAGGTTCTCAAAGTAGTCTCTGATGATTTCCTGGACTTCCATGGTGTTTGTTGTTATCTCCCCTTTTGCATTCCTAATTCTACTAATTTGGGTTTTTTCTCTCCTCATTTTAGTCAGGTTTGCCAGGGGTCTATCGATCTTGTTTATTTTTTCAAAGAACCAACTTTTTGTTTCATTAATTCTTTGTATGGTTTTTTTGGTTTCTATTTCGTTGATTTCAGCTCTTATTTTTATTATTTCTCTTAAAGGGCACTTCTTGAGGGCTTCCCCTGAGAATCATGTGAAGAAAGATGTATTAGTGAGAGGCTCTCAGACACCTGTGGGTTCTACTGGAATGTCACCCTGCTTCCTGTCCTCCAACAGAATCCGAGTCAGATAAAAAGCTCTTTGATTTCTCTTGGAATATCACAGTAACACTTTGAGGCAGATGAAGGGCTTCTCACACCTGAAGTTAGCTTAAGGGGGACAGGATAGCCTCAGTTTGGCTAATGCTAAGATTGTTTTTCAGGTGTTGGGAGGACAGGTGCAGCAAGAGAGGCCTCCGAGGCTTGGTTGGAGCATGCATAGAAATGGATGGAAAGGGCAGAGGTATGAGGGAGACTTCTGTTAAGTTTTTCTTTGTCCCCATAAAACCACCAGTACAACCCATGCATCTCAAAGTCTGAATGCATCACAAGAAAAGAAAGAAGAAACTAGCCAAAAAGTAGATTGTTTTAGTGAAAACTTTATAACCCTAGGTAATAGGGATTAAAGCTAACTTATTTCCAGACTTCAACTGTTCAAAATCAGACAGTGGAAGGTTTCAGCTGCTCTGATGTAGTTAGTGGCTGAGGAATGGAAAAAGGAGAGTGACAGTGGGAATCTTTCCAGGTTTTTGATGCATTAAACTCTGCCCTATATCCTGAACACAAGTATTCCACCAAGCAAGACCTCACTGGACATTAAAGAAACTCACAGAACAGGCTGGGCATGCCAGCTGTTTGGGAGGTGGAGATCAGAAGCATCCAGGTTCCAGGCCAGCCAGGGCAGTGAGACTCAGGTGTGGTGATACACACCTATAATCCCAGCCATTCGGGAGGCATAGAAAGGAGGGTCACAAAAAGTGAGGCTCTACCTAAAATATAACCTAAAAAGTGTTGGGGGTGTGGCTTAAGTAGCAGAGCACTTGCTTAGCAAGTGCAGGGTCCTGAGTTTGAACCCTAGTACACCAAAAAGAAAAAGAAACTTGGAGGACAAGCTCTTCAGAGCAGGATCTTGCCTCTTTTTTTCAGGACCTTGATGTCAGTGCACTGACGCTGTTGTCCTCTATAAGGAAAAAATGCTGCCTCTCCAGCTGTCACAGCTGGGGTGGTTCCTGCCAGAGCACCCAACACTGTAGCTTTTGAGGTCAACCAAGGAGCCTGTGTGCTGACCTCAAACATTCCAAAGAGATGCTGCCATGATGAATGACACAAACTCTTTAGACCTCCTGCCCCAAACCTCAGAGTTCACTTGCTCCTAACATGCAAGGTGCTTCACTCCTGGGTGGACTGAGTTGATGAGAGATAGTGAGAGATAGCGATAGTGTGGGTGGACGTGGGCGAGGCAGAGAAGAGAGTGGATGAGTGTGAATGCGTGTTTATCTGCTGCTCTGGAGTTTTGTAAAGGGGCAATGCCACGGCACTCTGCCTATGTGGGGCTCAGAACCGCATGTGGGAAGCTGCTTAGCACAGTGGCTGGTGGAAAAGTACCCTTGAGATTTCACATTGTTGTCTTCATTTTAAATCCATTTCCTGGGCAAAGTGCGGGGAAAGCGCCCAGTAAATGCTAAGAGGCAAGAGGTCCGGTGCTGTAGACCTCAAGGGCCCCATAAGCAGAGACTTTCAGTGTGAATGGCCCACCTGTCAGGTGACACTCAGACCGGAGCACTCCTCTGTTTGGCAAACACTCCCTCGGGTGGTTTCCCTGAGCTTCAACCATAGCAGAAGTGGCACTTGAGTGTGCCTAGCCTGGGTGTCTTTGCTTTTTACTCCTTCGTAAGCCCTATTGCCACACCTGCTACTCACAGGCCTCTGCAAGGATGCTGAAGGCTGGCCACAGGAAGGCAGGAGTTTCTTCCAGGGGCTCCCAGCTTACCTCTGAGATGGACTTGACAAATCGGATCCCATCGTTGGCTCCTTTCACCTTGGCTAGGCAGGCGCAAAAGTAATCCCAGTAGTCTTTCTTGTTGCCCAGGAGGCTGGCCTTCTCTTTCTGATCGAACTGGCAGGAAAAGGGACAGAGAGAGGAAGTCCAAACCCACTGTTCTTCACCCACCATTTAAATGATGAGCAACAATAGCTTCTTAGGTGCTGGCACTGGGGGAGGCACTTTATGGCATTATCTTTATTTACTGACAAATCAGGACATGTTAATCACAAAATGAAGGTGTTTTATTCCCAGATTTTAAGTAAGGAAACTGAGGTTAGGAGAGACTGGCTCAAGGTCATACAGCTGTGAGATTTAGGGATAACAGCTGCCCCAAAAACATTTGTCCCTTGAAGGGACTGCTATGCACAGAGTTTGATGGGAAAATGCTAATTTACTGTTGACACAAAATAAAGAAATTGAAGTGACGAGTCTTAAGTCAACATGAGGAATTATCTACTCCCCACGTTAGGGAAAAGAGACGTATCACATATTATCTAGTTACTCAACTCTTAAGTTTCAGTACTATCTTAACACACATGTCAAAAAATTCAAATAAATGTCAGCTACGAGTCACTTTAAATCCAAAACCAAAATAGCTTAATTGGAAAAAAGACACACACAAAAAAAAGGATGGGAGAGTCCATAAACATCTTATGATGTTAAACAAAGAACAGGTGAAAGTGGGAGAAAGGCAGGCCCTTCACCTTGGGGGCCTTTTCTCTTGTGGGGCATGGCACTGTCAAGTCATAGTAAATTAGTTTCCTCTAACATTTGATTTTTTTTTTTTCTGATTGTGGACACGAGATGCACATATTTTGCTTAAAAAACCCCCAAAATCTAGATAAAACAAAACAAAAAGAATAGAAAAGAAAAATTCTAATGCTTAATACCACTACCCTACAATAACTGTGGGTCTATTTCCTTCCTGTCAATTTCAGCTGCTTGTGTTTTTCCACAGCTGCAGAGCTCTCTTATTCAGTGCTTCTCGAGCTAAGCAGGCAGGAGTTAACAGCATGGGATATTAAAAGAAAGCCGGCTAGGCTGCGCTCAGATATCTGGATTCGGTAGGGCAGAGTGGGAACAAAGAAAGTGCTCCAACCAGCTCCCCAGTGATATTGACATTGCTGGTCTAAGACCGCACTTTGAGTAAGTAACAAGGTTCCAAACAGGGGCCTCTGGATAATCTCTGAAACTACCTTGGTGACTGCGTGGGTACACATGTGCATGTCTGGGGAAAGACTCCATGCCTTTCACCAAACTCTCAAAAGGGTATGTGAGTGACCCAAGGTGAAGACCCTTGCTAGATAGTGACCTTGTGACTTGCCTTAAGATGACTTAAATTTCTAAAGAATGTTCTCAATTTCCCAAACCATCTTAAGGGCAATATCCTGATTCCCCAGAGGTTCACATGTGGAGGACTGAGCTGTGACCTTCAGTCTGACTGTGAGAGCTAAATGGCTCCACTGAGCCCTGAATGCTATTAAGTCACCCAAGAGGGAAACACAAGACAACAATGCCAAAACCAGCACACAGCAGGCGCCACTTACTTGCAGGAGATACTCAAGCTTGTAAGAAAACTTGTGCAAGCTGGTGCTATCATCTGTGATGGGCTCTCCTGCTTCCTTAAACTCATTGCTTAGTTCCGTCACCGCATCTTTAAGAGAACAAACAGGAACACGTGACCACACAGAGCCCAAAGTCAGAAAAGAAGCAGAAATACATAGGAAGTATGAGGAGTAAGTGATCAGTGATGGTCAGGCACCTTGGAAATGTACAGGGCATGAAAACATCTGGGTGATGTAACTTCAGGTAAGAGGGTTAAAATGTCCTGAGACCTGTAGACACTTTACAAGAGCTCGCTGAGCCCTGAATGTCTACCACCTGGAGCTGCTGATCTGCATGCAGTAGCTGGTCAATAAATGTTTTGCTATGATGATGAATCATTCAGTCCCCTGAATCTGACTTCCAAAAAGCTTTGTCCTTTATTCTGGCCATATTTCTTATTTTTTACTGCCTGAGTCTGTTTTGTGTTGCTATAACAAAACACCTGGGGCTGGGTATTTACTTTATAAAAGAAGTTTATTTATTTTATATTTTAACAGCTCTGAAATTGGGGTGCATCTTAAGATGAACTGCATCTTAGATATGTGGATATAAGGCAACCTTGCCATGCAATGTTGTATTAAATGAAAACTATGTGCAAAGAACCTGCCTTCAGTTTTGGAGACCAAAAGTCCAAGAATGGGTATCCCCATCTGATTGGCCTCTGGAGGCCTCTGGCTGCCTTGACAACTCTTTCATAACAACCCACTCTCACAGGAATTAATCCACTCCTGTAAGACCCAACACACTTCATGAGACCAACATTAATCCCTGCCCTGGGTGGTCATGACCCAATCATTTCCCACTAGACCCCGTCTCTTAAAGGTTCCATCACTTTTCAATACTGGTATCCATTTGGGGAACAAGCTTCCAGCACATAAACATTTGGGGGACAAACCACAGCATTTATCATCTCTCCCACACAGTACAGGAAAGTGCAGGCTTCAACAACACCCAGTGGGTGAAAGTCATTCTAACAATGACAACAGTATCTGCTTCTGTTAACTGAGTGTCCTGACAGTCCAGGCCCCCCACACACATTTCTCATCAGAAAGGCAATGCAAGGCAGACATTGCTTTATTTCAAAAAATCTAAGAGGCAGTTGATTTTAAGATGTGTCTCAATGCCAACTCTGATAAAATGTGAAAAAAAGTAAGTACAAACATAGAATCTCTAAAATCTCCTATCATTATTCCCATTCTACAAAGGAGGATGCACAGAAGCCAGAGGCTTGGCTAAAAATCCTGGTGGTAAACAGCAGAGCTGCAGTAAGAACCTAGTTTTCTCAAGGGCTTTCTGACCTTCCTGTGCAGAAAAGGGGAAAACCCACGTGACTCTCATTCATGGCCTCTGCTGTGGGACAGACAGGTTGTGAGGCACTGCATTTGGTTTAGATATGGAAACACATGCCTGGTTTAGACAGCTGGGATATTCTGGACAGCTCTTAAAAGAAAGGAGCCCCTAGCTCCTGGAAAGAGACCTTCCTAGGACTGAAGCCGAGCCTGTGCTGACTGAGAGTTTAATCAGCACTGATCCCTCAGGCAGGTCAGCAAATGGCAAAGAGAAATTCTCCAACTGAGTTCTACAAGTGATTGTTGTCCAGTTCTGCCCTCCTAGGAGTATCTGCTGCATTTGGCATGCAGAGCCAGGGGCAGTGACCTGGGCACGACATCCAGCCTTCCTCCTCAGGCTGGGTAAACACTCAATTCTGGGAACTCCTGAAACTTTGCAAGAAGGAGCTTTTGGATGGATAGAAATTTCCTGATCTCTGAGAATCCCAATGCATTACTTATGAATAATATTCACTTTACAGGAATTTCATATGTGATTCTCTCAACAATGTTGAGAACTGGGTGAGTTCATCAAACTCACCTGCCCTAAAAAGGGAACAACTGCACACTGGAAAAGGGAAGGGACTTTTGGCCAGTGTTTTCCAGGGTTAAAAGGTTGAGGCTAAACTAAAGCCCCTGCAACTACTGTAACCAAGCCAATGTATGAACTGCCCCGCAGACGTGCGAAGACTGTGCACTGCACAAGAATGCACAACGCTCAGGCTATATCCTATAGCTCTATATTTAGTAAGCCATCTTGAGAAAGTGGGGCGCTTTAAGGATTCCCCTAAAAGTGCTCTGTGGGTCATACGCAAGTCACTGAGACCAACCCAGGATGCAGGATGACCAGACTCAGCAGGTGCATCAATTAGATAATAGTCCAGACTTGGAGCTTGACTGGAGGGTCCTCCCTTTCTCTCTCTCCCCCGCCCCCAATAAGGACCTCTGGGTCCCAAAACTTTCCTTGAGAACCAGAGATTGAAGCAGAGAAAACACTGCCTATTTTGTAGAGAAACCTCTAAGGGCCAATGGCAAACTCAATTTGCAGGGACTGCCATTTTACTTTCTCTGCTCTCTTTGCAAATTTAAAAACTAAAAATAAAATGCACCTAACACTTTAGCTGAAAGTAGACTATGTGGTTAAGAGCACAGACTGGTATCAGGCTGTTGGTGTACAACCTAAGGCTCTGCTCTTGACTGGTTGTGTGGCTTTAGGTGAGTTATTTACCCTCTCTGTGCTTGTTTCCTCTTCTGAAAAATGAGAATAATAATGATTCCTACCTCAAAGGGCCAAATGTTGAGTACTCAATGAGTTACTCTCTGCCAGACACGTGTATGACAGTGCCCTGAGTGCTTTAAATATCACGCAATTATAGGTTAAGCATCCCCAATCTGCGAAGCAGAGACTCAAAAAGTTTTGAATTTGGGTGCATTTTGGATTTCAGATTAGGGATGTTCAATTGGTAGTCTATGCAAATATTCCCAAATGCAAAAAAATCTGTAATCTGAAACACTTTGGAAACATTTCAGATAAGGGACACCCAACATGCATTAGCTGTGAAAGGCCAAAAGCACTATAAATCAGAGATAACACACCTGAGAAAGTGATTTTTATCTCACTGAGTGTGCGCCTTCTAAGTGAGAACTATGGACTGCATTGTGGCTGTACCAGGCCAGTGGTCCTTGACTGCCCATGTCCAGTCTGATCAATCACAAACCTGGGCCTTCAGACATCAGGGACGTGTCACCAAGGCCTCTACAGGCCTGGAGGAAGTGGTCAGCTTTGGCCTGTGTTGGAGCAAGTGTTCTGGGGTTCCAAAGACCAACCCTGATGATCAGCGGAAGATGACAACTTGCCAGAATTCTGACTTTTGGGACATCATCCGAAAGGTAGAAACTTGGCCTCTGCAGCCAAAAGAGAAGAGATCTGTTTCTTCCGTATCTGTCAGGCTTTATGTGTAGCACTGCACCCCTTCCTTTCCTTTCTCCAATAAGACAAGGGCTACAAGGCCCAGTGTCTCTCACTCAGGAAGCTCAGCGGCAGCAGGCCCAGAGCTGGACTGTGTCAGAGGCAATGGGCCCTCTGCCAGCAGGGACCAGGTGGGCTGCAAAACAGGACAGTCAGATATCTGGCCTTCCTGCTCAGAGAGAACAGTCCTCCCTAAAGACGCGCCCAGAGAGGTGATTCAGCCACACACACACTGAAAACATACCCAGTCCCAGGGGATGGCATCTGATTTTGTTTACAAACTGGCTGTATAGTGCTTGGAGAGGAACGCCACACAAGCTCCCCCAGCCTTAAACAGGCTGGATATCTGAGACCCAAATATTTCAAGGTGCTGTGTTCTGAGGGCTCCAATTACTACTACTGTGAACAAAGATGAAAAGACTGATTTTCAACTGGCAACAGCAAAAGCGCAGCCCCAAGTCCCTCAGGACCAAGCCTGGAACTCCCAGCAGGCTAAGCAAACCTTGCAGGTCGCGGATGATCCTCTGCAGCTGGCTCTCGGCACTGATGGAAGCCATGGCAAATATACCTCTCTTGGCCGTGTGTGTCCAGAGAAAGGCTGTCAGTTAGTGGCGATCAGACCCCATGGTGGCACCTGCATAGGGGAGGAAGCAGTTAGAGACATGATTTAAAGACTATCAGAAGACTGTGCTCTGGGCACCAGGTTGGCTCATCTCACATCTTCCCTGAAGGGACCACTTGCCCTTTCTCTGTGGGACTTGCTCTGTAGACACTCTTGGGTCTGCTTCTGACACATATTCAGACCCAATGACCTGGTTTGGGGCTTCATAAGAAACCAGATCAGGCAAAGAGCACAGCTGGTTCTTTCTGAGCTCCCCTCCCACCCCACCTCTTGGGACAGGACTTCTTCACCTCCTATCCTTGGAAAAGCCTCCTGGTGGCTCCCTCGCCCCCAGGATACCCCTAGGTCAGCCCTGATTAAGAAGACTCCCTTAGGACTAGGAGTCAGCTCTGGCAGAGCCAATTCTCCCATAGCCTGCCTTCTGCCAGGCAGTGCTGGGGACATGAGACAGAGGACTCATACCCTTGGGCTTCTAGGACAAGGACAGAGCCTGGCTTGCCTGACAAGGAAGTGGTTCTCTGGTGCTGGGGTTTGCAGCCTCCTCTGCCCAGAGTCTGGCTCAGCCCAAGGGTATAGATTTTGCCTGGCCTGCCAGGCAAGGGCCTGCACAGCCCTTCTGTCCCTTCTAGGCAAAGGACAGGTCTCTATTTTAAGCTCAGTTACAGTCCTCCTCCCATGCTGATGAGTCTCAAGTTAGCAGCCCTATTTGACAGCTGTTAATGTGATTTAAGGACACGGTAGTGGCAGAAGACCATCAGAGATGAGGAGATGTTAGCTCACGGGAAAGAGGCCTGGCCATGCATGTAGACACTCCTGAGTCCTTTTGAAATCCCTAATTCTTCCCTTGCGGTCCAATGCAAAGCCAAAATGTTTGCTGTAAAGACGAGACATGACCACAGCAACCACTACCATGGTGGGCCTGCTGAGCACAGGGTCCTGTTCCCTGTTTTATACATGATACTTTTACTTCTCAGTCACCCAGGTAAATAACATGTTCCCTGTTTATAAAAGAAAAACTGATGATGCTTGGCAGGCCTCATGCAACTTGTCTAAGGCCAAGGGCCAATGAGGAGTTGAATCAAAGCTTAAACCCTGGTCAGTGTGATTTCAAACCAGGCAGTTTTAGCAGTGTGCCCTACTGACCCTTTAAGAGTCATCATCACTACAGCAAGTGACCAACCACTTCTCCTGGTTCCTAAGAAGCACTTTGGACCTTAGTGTCTCCCAAATAACATGCCACCCTCCCACTGCCATCTTTCCCTGATGGCTCCAGGAGTCAGGGCAAGGAGATCCTGGAAGGGAAATGGCCCCAGCCACCAGCAACTTTAGATATTTATTTACATGAGCATTCCAGTGCCAGCATGAGAAGGGCGTCACAGGACCAGAGGCCAAGGCCTATTTTTAACTCACAAGCCAGTACTGCTGTGACTCAGTGAAAACAAAGACCAAGAAGAAGGAAGCAGTCAAGCACGTAACTGTACTGCAGTCCCAGAATTCATGACTCAGAACCCTAGGCAGCAGAGACTCAAGGGACCCACACACAACTCCACAAAGGCTCCCAACAAGCTCCAGCACTGCCCGTCATGGACATCAGACCAAGAGCTAGAGTGGTTTATAAGAAGACTGCCTGCCCATCCCAGGTGACTTTCTTTTCCAGGTCACCTACTGAACAGGATGACTGGGCAGGGACCAGCCAGGGATCCAGAGAGAGCCAGAGCCCAGGCATCAGCTCCTGCAGGGAAGGTCTCTGATACCCAGGCACACACTGCACCCCTCTTGGCAAGGCTTCACTCTTAGCTGTCCCGGCACCACGTTTTGTTGAGTGCTCAGTGCAGGCTGGTGACACAGAGGCACACAAGGCACAGTTCAGCCTTGGAACCTGGCTGTTCACTATGGAAACAGACAGAAATATCTTGAAATCTAGATAGAATGAAAGAGGCCCATGTAGGGACATGGGTAAAAATTCTCAGGTACCCAGCAACAAAGAGGAATGAGGCAGGTATACACAAGCACATGCTGAATTTGTTATGCTGCATGAAAGAAGCCACAGAATAAGATCCACCCTTTGCAATCCCTTTTATACAAGATCCTTGCAAAGGCAAAACATTAGAGAGAACTGGATCAGTGGCTGCCAGGAGCTGGGGGAAGAGAGGGTGTGACTACAAAGGGGCAAAGGGACACTTGGGGTGGAGGGAGGCAATTCTGTTCAGTATCTTGAGGATGGTGGTAATTACACAGCTACATACTTGACAAACAAACAGCTATTAAAACTCACCTGTAGGTCACAGTGGGCTTTCCACCATGGCTCTGGGCTGTCCCTTATAGGTGTTATTTAGGAACTAAAATCAAAGCTCCCTAAATTATAAATTATTATCTTTAAAAAAAAAAAAGAGACAGCATTGTGATGAGTTTTTAAAAATGCAATGGGAGCCAGGCACCAGTGGCTAGCTACTTGGGAGGCTGAGACTGAGAAGAGTGTGGTTCAACGCCAACCCCAGACATATAGTTCACAAGACCCCCATCTTCAAAATAACTACAGCAAAATGGACGAGGGTAGTGGTGGCTCAAGTAGTAGAGCACCTGCTTTGTGAGTACCTGCTTTTGTAAGCATGAAACCCTGAGTTCAAACCCCAGTTCCACCAAAATCAATAAGTAAATATTAAAATAATAATCTGGTGGGACAATTTAATTCCACTTGGGGAAGGGAGAGGGAAAGGGTGATGGTACTCTGTGATGGCCACTGGTCTGGGCCAGGTCTGACAATGGATGGGCCACTGAAGAGACCAGGGAGGAGATGTGGGGTGTAGCCACAATGAGGGTCAAGGTTGATTCTTTCCCCACCTTCCTCTCTTTCAGCTGCTGCCAACTCAGGGCCATGCAGTTCCTGGGAGAAACAATCCTGGGGAAGATGACGGAGTACCTACCTGATGATGGTCACACAAGCCCACTGGCTCTGTGTGCACACTTAACACTGAGATGCATGCATGTAGGGGAGGGTGGAGCTTGGGAAGGAGGGCACAGTGACAACAGATTGTGACTGACACCCAGGTTGTGGCTGGCACAATACATACAGTCTTTCACCTGCTGGATTTCCTGGAAATCAGTTGATTGGAAGCCTGGGGGAAACAATGTCAGCAAACCAAACCAGCATCTCGGCATGATGAGCTGAACATGCACTCCCTTAAGACTTGGTGCTTTGGTGACACTGCCCTGTGTCAGCAGGGCCAGGAGGCCTTCTCTTCTGATCTGACCTTCACAGCATGCTTGGCTGCTGTCAAGTTCCCAGGCTATGGGGTGAGTTGTTCCCAGTCACTGATTATGTAAGCTGATTTTCCAGAGTCTGTGTGGGTAATGAGAGCTAAGAAACTAGCAGCCAGGCCTGTGGGTCAGTGTGGCTCTGGGCCATATCTCACAGGGGTTCAGGAAGTAAAATCATAGCTCCTTTGGGACCCCGAGGGGATGCTATTTCCATGGGCTCTTTGTTAAAAGTCTGCCCTCCCTCCTCTCCTTCCACCTTGGGTCATTATTAACCAGGCAAGACACCAACCAGGGCTGTCTGGGTCTCCACCCCTGGGTCTGCCTCCTTGTGTCAAAGCCTGCCCTTTGGTTGGGGATCACAGATTTCAGTGAACCAGCCTCATCCTGGCATCCACAACCCATGAGCAAACTGCTCCCCTAGTGTGGGAGACACTCAGTGCTTTGAGGAAGACCACCATGGTCACTTCCATAGTGGGGAAAGATGCCAGGACTCCCACACCTCTTGTAGCCCCCAAAGTTCAAGTCAGTTCTGTGAACCCAAAGTCCTTGTTGTATGACATATAAAAACCTTTATCACTGTCTCTGATAAGCTCTTTCAAATCAGAGAAATTCGCTCTCTAAAATCTTGGGAACATTCTATTTTTCTTGCCAGCAACTCAAAATTAACATTTAAGCCTGTCCTAAATGTCTAAAAACACCTACTCTTCTGACAAAAGGAAAAGGTACTAAATGCAGCTTCAAAAATTCTTATTTGCTGAGGTCCTAATCACAGCCTGGGTACTAGTTTAGAGTAAGAATCTTTCCTGACTTCAAAATTACTCTTATACCTGCCTGGATGCCCTAAACGCCTGAAACAACAGACACAGTAGATTCATCCTAAATTAAGACACAAAGACACCAACACTGACTCATGTAAACTAATTTATACTATGGTGCAAATAACTCACACCCGTAATGTTGCCCAATACAATGCCTGAGTCGTTTTACAAGGAAAGAAGAATCAGAGGGAGAAGGAGGCCAGGGGTGTGGAAGTCAATCCTGCCATGCCTTCAAAACTGTGCTCCCAAGACAGAACTAACCCAGGGATGACACCATACATTTGGACTCTTCCCTAGTCTCACACAAGGTAAAGCACACCAGTTGTAAATTCCACCCTGAACAAACAAGAATGTTAACAACAGTTCAAAAAGCTGAAGGCTTTTCTGGAAGAGCCCGTGACCTTGGCCTAGTTCAGCACACCCATAGCATCTATCTAGTTACCCACAGAAAGGGGTGCTCTTGGCTGGTACCTGTAGTTCTGAAGGCCCAGAGGTCCTGATGGCTTGTGGGTGGAAACTTGGTGGGCAGGCCTCCCCAGACCTTCATGAGGGTGGCCAGGAGAGTGCTCCGCAGTTTCCCAGAGGCCAGCTTAGAGGCAGGCCCTTCAGTACATGTGAGCATAGGCTCATTAGGTGACCCAACCCCTTGGGCCTGTAATTACAGTGTCGCCAGCTACAAGCCTGGTCATCCTTCCCAAACACCTCTTCCTGCTTGCAATCTTCTCTCTTAAAGGGAATTAGGGCTGGGACTTCACCATAGCTTTTTTTTTGGTGCCTTCCCTCCCGCCAATTCTAGTAGGTTCTTCGGTCATTCCCCCAGAACACACCCAAAACCAGCCATGATTTAGACCATGGACCCAAGAGAACAGGCTCAAGAGGATCTAAGCCCGGGAGAAGTTGCACTGGACCTGAGAAGCCACGTCTTTCTTTAGGAATGTAGACAGCACTCCCAAGGGAGGAGCTGTGCACTGGTACTTGGGCTATGGGCCATGGCCCTGCCATTGGAAAGCCCCAAAAAACATCTAGGAAGTAACAATGCCAGGTGTGAAAATATGGGCAGTCAGGAGACCACACAGACAATGGAGAACTCAATAGGCCCATCCTTCCTTGCCCCACAGAGGACAAACACTGCAAGGTAGGGAGAGGGGCAGATCTCCAAAACTACACTTTGTAGACTTCCCTGGGGTCAGTCTAGCTGATTATGACCTAAGAAGTAAATCTCTGATAAGACTATGCCTGGCCTTGAGGAGGCACCATGTGATCTCACATGCTAACAAACTGCCTGCAGGTAAGAGGTATTTCTTGGCACCACTGATAAACAGCAGGTCTGATCCAGGAGTGGGGACCACAGCTGTGAATAAGAGTGGTGGGTGGAGCCTAGCTTTTAAGGAACTTGGACTCAGTGGGAGAAATGGTCAGCATCTCCCACAACAAGCTTACAAACTAGAAAGATCACTGAGGCCTGAGGCTCTGATGAAAACAAAAGAACACACCATACTCTCCTGCACTGCCCTGAAGTAGCCAGGGTCCTGACTTTGGGGTTTAGATGCTCTGTGCCCTCTGTCAAGACTAAGCTCTGGGGCTGGGACACGGCTCAAGTAGTAGAGTGCCTCTCTAGCAAGCCCTGAGTTCAAACCCCAGTACAGAAAGAAAAAAACGAGACTGAGCTCTGCCTCCAGAATTCAGAGTAGGTACTCAAGAAATGGCAGCACCCCCCGCCCCACCACAAGCCGAGCTTCCTTTTACAGGATGCTGATGGATAATCTGTGTTTGTGTGTGTTTTCTGGACATTCTAAAGACCAGATAACCAGACTTCACAGTTAACTCAAGATCAGCGTGTACTTCGTGTACTTCAAGAGGAAGAGGAACGTACTGTTTGCCTATTGTGCCATGGTGGAAACCACTGGTAGGACTAAGAGTTAGGAACCACATTCACTGCGAGCAGTCTGAGGCAGCAGATAAGGCACCCCTTCTCCCCCTTCTTGTGTTAAAATTTAAACCCTCACACCTCAGAAAGTGGCTGAATTTGAAGATAGGGTATTTAAAGAGGTAACAGATGAAATGAGGCCAGAGGGTGGGCCCTAATCCAATCTGACTGCTGTCTTTACAAGATGAACTTTGAAGCCACAATACAAACACTAGGGATGTGTAAACACAGAGGAAGGCCAAGTAAGGACAGTGAGACTGCAAGCTAAGGAGAGAGGCCTCAGGATGCAAACCTGCCAAAGCCTCAATCTCAGACTTCCAGCCTCTGGAACTGAGAAAAAAATGGACTTCTGTTGCTAAAACCACCCAGTCTGTGGCATTTTGTTATGGTGGCCTAAAAAGAATGACATACCTCCCAAGGCCCTTCTCTCTCCACTCTCAGAAGTGTGGATCTGGCACCATCAGCCACACAAACTGGGGTGGGAGGAGTTTGGGTTCTATTGTCCCCTGGGTGGGGGTGGGGAGCACACAGCACCTGGACACAGAGGGGTGGGTGGTATGAGGCTATGGTAACAGAAAGAAGGGGCAAGTGAGGCCCAGGGTGGCTCAGAAGCTGGAGTGGTAGCACTGGACAAGCCATTTGTCTTTTGTTTATCAGGGGTAGCTGAATTCTGTCAACTTGGACCCTGTTCAGAGACTTTGGAATCTGACTGGTTAACTTTCCATTATCTATTAAGCAACAAATAATGTGTTGAAGACCATTCCATGCCTGGGTGACACTCATGTATATTTAGCTCAATCAACTATTTCAGGCAATCTCTCTGGCCTTTGCTTTTTTCCAGGTGCAATGGAAGGAGGTAACTCTCAGTGATTAAGAACAAAGGAAATGGAAAGGGGAAAAAGAAACATCCTTATGGCTACCTTTAGCTAAGGTGTTCAAGGGTCCCTGCCCTCCTCCTGACCCCATTCCATTTTAACCTCCCACCTTGGGTTCAGCTGTCCAGCCCTATGCTCGACCTCTTCTGGGATGATCCCCGTGGCCTAGCCCCTAGCTGCTAAGGGTTTCCTTACAGTGCTTTGTTTGTTTGTGATCCAAGTTTTTCTTCCTAGATGCTAAGAAATTCCCTAATTGGATTTCCTGCACCAGGCCAAGGGTGCAAATATCCCAGGCTCCTGAAGTAATTGGCTCTAGTACCAATCATAAGGCCACACTACTGTAACCAAACCACAGAATCTTTTCAAGTCTTTCCTCAGAACCACACTGATGTACACATGCTCATCCCTACAAACGTAATCTATTTTCAAATGGAAATAGGCCCTTTCAAATGCCACAGGAGCCATGTGAACAAGGACCACTGGTGATCACTAAAACCATCACGCTAAGTGGCTTCATGTGGAAGAAGGGAGGGGAAATTCCTCTTGCCCAGCTGAGCACAGCTCCTCTTTCAAAGTCATGGGGCCTGTTTGCTCCCAGGATGGTACAGATAGTTCAGCCATTTTTAGTTTAACATCAATAATCAGGTCAGGCACAGTGGGTGACTCATGCCTGTAACTGCCAGCTACTCAGCAGGCAGAGACTGGAAGAATCACAGTTCAAGGTCAGCTGTGGCAAAAAGTTAGCAAGACCCCTATCTCAACAAATAAACCTATAATCCCAGCAATGTAAGAGGCTGTAGGTAAGAGGATTGTGGTCTAAGGCTAGTCCGGAGCAAAAATGTGAAATATTGTCTGGAAAAATAATTAAAGCAAAGGGGCACAGTTTAAGTAACAAGGGCTAGACTTTCCAAATAAATAGCAAGAAGGTAGGCAATGTTTCCAACATTCCAATTCCCATCCTAGTGATTTATTTAACTGCTCAAATTGAGGCTCAAATACTATTTTGCAAGAGACAAGAATCTAGCAGTTACTAGGTAAGCAGATGTCAACATAACCACAATCAACTCATCTCTGCTCCTAGGTGTCTGTGAGATTACAAGTCCAAGTTAATGACCCTTACCTGCCACCTGGGGCTGCTCACAGTGAATGTGGTTCCTAACTCAGTCCTACCAGTGGATTCCGCCAGGAGACTACAGGCAGACAACTCGTTTCCTCTGCTTCATGCTGAAACACACTATGATTTGATCTTGAGTTATCAGTCTGGTCTTTGGAATGTTCAGAAAACAGGTCCTCCATCAGCTGAAGCGCTTGGGTAAAGAGAAGCCAGGGCTGAGCGAGGCTGACATTTCTTAAGTACCTACTTTGTGTTTGGAAGCAACAGCCCACAGCCTCAATGTCCAACACTGGCCAAAGTCACCTGCTGCTCTGATCTTGTTGTTACAGGTGGTTCCTCTCATCGCAAACATCTGTGGGTACCATGCCGCCCAAGAGGACCATGGCTCCTGAGCCATGTTGGTTCCCAAAATCAGCCTCCAAGGGCAAAGAAGCAGCTACAGTATCTGCCTAAAGCCATTACCACTATCTAAAGCAAAAGTAATCAAAGTAAAACAAAGAGATGAGTATATGAATGGTCACTATACAACTCTGTCAAAGATTCTGTATGTTTCACATGCTTCCTCTAAAAATATTTAAGAGCAATTTTAAAAATAGACGAAGTATTACATAAAGATGAACATTTAACCTAAAAAGATTAAACCCTGTTTCCTAAAGCAAGTGCCTTTCCAGATCCTTCTAATAAAGGAAGCTGAGAGCCATCACAATGTGACAATGAACTCTGACTTCCAGGGTGATAACCGTGACCCATCACAGTGTGGGGCAGTCAACATTGTAAGAACAGTAGTGTCACAGACAGACGATCAAGAGGCACCTACACAACAGGGGCCACTTCAGAAGGTGGGAACACTGAAAGCAGAGAAGGGGGTAGCTTGGCACCTGCCCCTCCCCCATGCTCCTGTATCAGGCAGGTGGCAGGAGCATTAAGCTGGCAGCCACAAGGCCCACAGCAGCAGGAGAGCAGTGAGCAGATTAGGCACTGATCCTCTCCCCCTGAAAAGCCCCTGACCCATTTTTCTGTCTGGAAAGGAAACTGCTGTGGTAAGACTAGCAGAGGGGCAGAGAGGCTCTGGCCAACACAGGAAATGTCAACAGGGCTCTTTTTTTTCTGGAGGGGGCAGCCAATGGGAACTGTGAAGAGAGACAAGGTGAATCAGAGAGGATATGTGCAATACCAGGCAAATGTCAACCACATGTTCTTTTCTTACATAAAAATAAAACCTCGTCCTTCCCCCATCCTCCCCATCCTAGATCCCAATAGCAAGGGCTCCAACCCAGACCAACGCAATCACATTAAAAACACTTCCAGCAAGTGTTTCTGGAAACACTTGGGGCTACCTTGGGACTCTGCACCTGGACACAAAGGTCAGCGGTAAAGTAGATGGGCTGTGACCTGCGCACAGATGGGTTAGAACAAACCGTCCCTCCTAGTCCAGGGCATCAAAGCGAAGGTTGGGCTGTCGTGCTCCAGCTGAGCCACAAACTAGGCTTCCCGAGGACAATGCATGCAGAATCCCGGGGGCCTGTGCTGTACTGTGCTTAGTGTCCTGGCTGCTACTGCCACTTCGCAGAGTAAGCTCGTTCGCTGACCCCGAGCCGTGCGGGCTCTCGAAACTGAGGTCTGAAGTAGCCTAGGTTCCAGGGCCAGCTTCTACCGGCCAGAGGTTATTGCTAAACTCTCAGGGCAAGGGCAGGGGTTCCGCAGGGTCGGCGGGAGACTAGGGATGGGCGGGGACGGTGAGGGCAACAGGTGGCGCCCGAAGCGAACCTCTCCGCTCCCGAGTCAAGAGCGGTTCCAGCGCACCCAAAAGTCCAGCCGTTCGCCCGCGGCACTTACGCGCTCGTGGGTCCACCGCCGGGCAGAACCGAAACTTTCTGTGGCCAAGCGGAAGGGTAAGTGAGCGCAGCGCCGGCGGCCATGACGCGCGCAGTCGAGCGCGGGCAGGAGCGAACTACAACTCCCGGCATGCTTCGCGGAACTCAGGCCTACAACTCTCACCAGATCCCCGCGGATAAGGGTGCGCTGACTATGACTCCCAGCATGCTCTGCGGAGCCCGGGCCTACAACTCCCATCAGACCCTGTGGACGGGTGGATGCTGACTACGACTCCCGGCATGCTCCGCGGGCGGAGGGCTGGCCCCGGCTCCCACGGGCTTCTCCTCTCACTTGCACATTCCGGGGCGCCAACCCCCTAGTCTTACTTTTTCAATTCTGGAAAAAGGAGTGCATGTGTGCTTGGAAATCACCTGGAATCTTGAGAACCTCGCTGATCGTGTGTGGCTGTTGAGCTCTTGAAACGTAGCTAGTTGAATTGTGCATGTGTTTGCTGTGTGTGTGAAGTATACCTGGACTCCAAAGCCTTACTACGAAGAAAGGATGTAAATTAGCTCATTAATTTTTTTGCATTATTACACGTTGATAATATTTTTTATTTATTGGGCAAAATTAAATAAAACCTATATGATGCTGGGTTTTAATATCTCATCTTTTGATCCCGCTCATTAACACAGTGACTTAAAATCAGTGTTCAAAACTATGTGTTGATTAGTAAACTACCATGCTTAAATTAACTTCAGCCCAGCCCCAGCCCCAGCCCAGTTTCTGCTTATGAGCTGTGTATTGCGAAGCACTGTGAAACTGGGCATGGTTAGACAGAATGCATTCGATGAATGGGCACAATAGAGAAAAGCCACAGTATGGGAGGAACTTCAGCCAGGGACTGGACTGTTTTTCAGCTATGGCCCGCCATCCTTCACTCTGCCCAGGTTCCACCATTTAAGCTAGAAACATTTGTTGCCTCACAAGACTTGGCTAGTGGCACCCAGTAAGGTTCCAACATTACAAATGAGAAAGTGGGAAGTTATCAGGGTAGAATAATATAGGAAAGAAAATAGATGTCTTGGTTAATTTTAGGCTATGGCACCTCATTAGCCCTGTTTTATAAATTAGATGAGAAGACAGTGAATTAGCTTGAGGGAATTGTCAGCTTGGGGGTGGGGTGGGGAAGAGGCTCCTGGATAGATGTGATTTCCATTCCTGTTAACAGAAAGGAAAACTGAAAGAAAAAGGGGAGAAGTGAGAGGAGAGATGACAAAAGGAAACGAAAGTCATCAGTATAGTGGGCTAAGAAAAACCATTGCTCAAGCCAGTCTGAACAGCTGTATGAGACATTAGGACGGGAGAGGTTTTAATGTTGGTCATTGGTTCCACATCCTTGTTTGAAACTTAGACCCAAAAATGAGTTTAGAGAGAAAGGAAATAAAAACCTAACACAGTCATATGTTGTTTAAGGACACTGATACGTTCTGAGAAATGTATGATCAGTAAAAGGCAAAAGATTTATACGATATCAAGGGAAAACCACACCCTATCTCAAAAACCAAAAAGAAGAGAGGGAGAGGGAGGGGAGAGAGAAGGGAGGGAGAGGGAGAGAAAGATGAAAAAGAAGGAAGAGGAGAAGAAGGAAGAGATAAATGCATATTTAGGCAATTCTTCATTGTGTAAACATCACACAGTGTACTTACACAATAAGGTGTTTATGACATCACTAGGCCACATAATCTTATGAGACCCACGGTCACATGCAATCAATCTCTCTTTGGCCAAAATGTCATGGAGCACATGACTGTGTATACCGAGGACTTAGCCAAATAACCCATGTAGCGCTATATTTAAAACTCACTGAAGTTATGATGTAGGTAGAATTCATTATCCCTACTTCAGAGATGAAGAGACTGAAGTTCAAAGAGGTAAAGTAATTGTCCAAGCTCACCCAGCTAGTGGAGGCTAGCGTAGTGTTGGGGGAGCTAGAGAAGTCTTCTGTCCACCCAACACATGGGTGGTTTAATTTGGGTTTCCTTTGTAGATACAGCTGAGAATTTCAAACTGTAATCTTTAAATTATCCAAACTCAGGATATTCCTGTGTTCTGCTCTGAATTCGTGTTAGGTAAGGAGATAAGATTCCAACTCAAACTCCACATCTCCTTCCCCTTACAGCTTTAACAAGCAGCAAGAGTGGAATCTGGGCTTCCTAGGAAACTTGAGGAGGTCATTGCCCTGATAAGGGAAGAGGTTTTCTAGGTAATGTTCCCACTCCCCGAGGGCATTGCCTTACTGGGTACACTTAAGTGTGTTCAACACATAGTTTAGTTTTATCCCTGCATCAGTCTCATAACGTAATTATCCCCAGTAAGCAGAAGAACAAACTGAGATTTAAGGAGGTTAAATAACTTGCCCAATGTCAAAATCTAATAGTGATAGAAATTGATTTTTGAACCCAGTTTTCTGATTACGGAGTTTAAACCTTAACCACTGTGTTGGCAGCTCTTTATGTGGGGCAACCGTGTTTTCTGCCAGGTAACTGACTACCTTCGTCTCTGTTGACCAGGCCAGGGTAGATGCGAGTTGTGCCAGTGGCCTGGTATGGCAGCTCAGCTCAAAACAGCCAGCTTTTTCTCTTCTGGAAAATTTGAGTGTAAGACCCACAGAAGAAGTCAGAAGTTGGTTGAAGAATCAGCAACTCCAAGTTGGTTGAGTCAATCTTCCTTACAGAACACTGCTTTTCAGTAATCATCCATGGACAGTGTGGGAGGATATAGATTTCAGGGCTCTAGAAGTTGGCTTGAATTCTGACATGGGTATTTTCCAGATTTTTTTCTTCATGACTCTCCTATGGACTTTTCTCTTCAACAGCCTCACCAACTGACAACCTTTGAAATTTTAAAATAAGCTCTTGATATACATTCAGATTTTTTCTCATTTTGAGAAGATTATATTTTCCACATTCTTTCCTGGTTCACCTGTGATCCCAGCATGAATACTAGCAGTGTCTCCCCTCACTCTTCATGCTATATCAATTTGTCAACAAATCATATAGTCACTCTCTTCAGAAGATAATTAATTGCCTAGGGTGATAAAGAGTGTCTAACGCAAAACATAGTCAAACGTGGTCAAATGAGTTTTGAAAACACTGAAGACAAAAAAAGCAAGTCCTATACCATAGGACTTTTGGGTATACCCTAATGTCTAAATCTGGTCCCATGGTAGAAGTCAAGGAAGTAATTGTAGTCAGAGATTTATCATTTCACAATTGTGAGCAGTTAATGTGTCTTGTAAGAGTTAGGGACTCCAATTCACCTTTGGGCAAATTTCCTGTTTTTGAAAAAGCCACTGAAATAGGCCTTTTAGTGTTACATCCTGTTTTACACTTAAAGCAAAGCTCTGTTTGGTAATGGAAAAGTTGTATCTGGGTGAATCACAGCTATTCATTTATTCATTCATTCATTCTTTCAACATGTACTACTCTAGGCATTGTTTTAGATCAGAGTTTGATAAACTTTTTCTGTAAAGGGACAGATAATAAATATTTTATACTTTTGTGGATCTTATGCTCTTAGTTGCAAATGCTTAACTCTGCCATGATGGTGCAAAAACAGCTATAGACAGCATGACTGTGTTCCAATAAAACTTTATTTAAAAAAACAAGCAGCAGGCCAAATATGTGGTACTTTCTTATCCTTGGCTTAAGTGCCTGGGTTTCAGCAATGGACAAAATAGAGAAAAATCCCTGTTCTCATGGAATTTACATTCAGAGGAGGGAGACAGACAATGAGCAAGAAAAGGAAGTAATTTAAATGATAAATTAGAAGGTGGCACATGCTATCAAGAATTAAGAATCAGAGAAAAGAAAATGCAATGGTGTGCCTGTAGGGTGTGTGGGGAGGGAAGGTCTCTCTTAGAACGTGATATTTTAGCAGACTTGAAGGAGGTGAGAATGACAGTTTTAAAACATGTCCATAGAGTCTTTCAAACTACTCCCGTCCAGAGCTTGGGAGGGGGTCATCTATGTCTTCTCTCCTGGGATCTGGGCTGACTTTAGTGAATCTTTGTAACTTACAGAGTGTAACAAAAGGGATACCATGTAACTAGGCTAGGTTGGAAGAGGCAGAGCAGCAGCACCTGTTTCTCTGGAATTGTTCTCTGTGGGAGCCAGATGCTACATAAGAGTCCAATTCCCTCAGAAGTCCCTTCTGGAGAGGCCTCATCTATATTTGTTGGAGTTCCAGATGACACCAGCATCATCTGCCAGCCATTTGATGGTACCATGTTGGATGTCTACCCAGTTGAGCTGTAGCCTTAGTTGATATCTGATTGAAACTGTGTGAGTGGCACTAGGTGAGAACCACCCTGCTGAGCCCTTCCCATGTTCTTGATCCACAAAATTAAATAGGTTGTTTCAAGCTAGCAAATGTCAAGATAATTTATTAGGCAGAAATGGTATCTGGAATGGAATACTGGTACCAGAAGTGGGTGGAAAGAGTGAACTATATCAGATTATATTTTCGAAAAATGTTCACAATAATATTCATTCCACATTTCTTCTGCAATGTGATCTTGCCACTCCCCCCTTCAAGAGGTAGAGTCTAATTTTCCTTGCCTTGGATAGAGGTAGCTGGTGACTGCTTCCATCAGCAGAAAATGGCAGACATGACACTGTGAAACTTTCACAGCCGAGTTACAAAAGATAATGTGGTTAGAACTCTGAACTTTCATGTAAGAAGTCTGATCACCCTGGAGCAGTGATGCCATAAGGAAACCCAGGTAGCCAGGGAGTGAGCCTTGTGAATAACTGGAAGAAGGATTTTATAGGGAAGAATAGCCAGTGCAAAGCCCAGAGCCTGGTATGTTTAAGGAACCATGAGAAGGCCAGGGTTGTGGAAGTAAGACAGACTAGAGGGGCAAAGGAAGAAGCAGGGAGGCAAACATGAGAGTACAAGTGAGCCAGGTGGTAGCAGGAGGGATGAAGTGAGAAGTAACTGAGTTCGAGGCAGAGCTGAGAAGAAAGAAAAGAACCAAGAATGATATCAAGCTCTCTGGCCTTAGCCAACTGTGGTTGGCTTATTCTCTACTTTATGGTGTAAAGATACTGTTTTTTTTTTGTTTGTTTATTCAAATGTGCATACAACGTTTGGGTCATTTCTCACCCCCATCCCCTGCCCCCTCCCTTTTCCCCCACTCCCTGCCTCTCCCCCCCACCACCTCGCTTCCAGGCAGAAACTGTTCTGCCCTTATCTCTAATTTTGT